ATACATATAATCTCACATACAGCAACCTTTGGTGGATATATTATTATCCTCAATTTCATATCAGAGAATTTATTTGGTGATAAGTAATGTCAAGGTCACATACTTAGCAAGTGGGAAATTCAACCCAGGTTTCTGGGAATATAAAGTCTATTTCTTTTCTCTTTATCACCCATCTATGGCTTCTTTTCATTAAAGGAAAAGTTTATCAATTAAAGTTGTCTTTTGTACCTCTGCCCACAACAATTAAAAATAAAAAACATCAGAATACACTAGAAATGAGAACGGAAAAAGCTGACGGATGAATCCACAATACCTGGGAACAACAATTAATATAGTCAGTTGAGGATAATCTAACATCAATATTCTTCAAAGATAGCAACTTGAAACAAAGATTCATTGAGACATCCCATGGATAAAATGAATTTTATCTCCTATTTATGTAAAATATAGCATTTTAAAAGGAAAATTATAAAAGAAGCAGAGGCTACAAAAAACTGTGAAAGGGTTAAGATGATCATAATTGAGTCATAAAGTTAAAAGTCAAAGTCCACATTTTATAAAACTTGAAAACAAATATGAAACCTTTTTAGCTTAATATAAGATTGTATGACCAAACACATCAGATTATAAACAACAACACATCAGTTAATAGCGTAAGAGCGGGTGAATCCTTTGTACACTGTCCTTTACATTGTCCAGTCCAAATAACTGCTTTTCTATCTAACTGAAGATCGGTGTTGATATTTTTCACTGTACTCCAATAATTATAATGTAATCTTCTTATTCATTTAATATTCCTGACTTGTATGGCTGTTACACTCTAGAACAACACTCATTTTAAGAAAAAAGGACTAATTATTGTACCTTTTCAATCTATCAACTACATGTATATCTGCATTTTTCATTATTAAAAATTTTGCCATTTTCAGTTGTTTTCCTTTTAGAGCACAGAGAAATGGTGTGTTTTCATCCTGTAACAGAGCAAAAACACTTAATAACTGACAAAATTACACATTTGTCAATTTAAGTAAAAACCTTATATAAAATCCTAAGAATGTAAACAGATAATATACTAACTAAATAAAAAGTAGCTCCCTCTTTCTCACCCCTCTGTGCTTTCCCATATGCTGTTACTTCTCTTGGAAACACCCCTCCCTCCTCTGCCTCACCACATTAACTCTGGTCAGTTCCAAAACTCACTTCAGACATTTACTGCTTCCAAGAATCATTGCTTCTGTCACAGCATTTATCACGGTGTGTGATACTGTAATGATCTTATTGTTTCTCATCTAAAGCAAGAGCTTCTTGTCAGCAGAGGCAGTATTCTTTTATCTCTATATCCCCAAGCTCTAAGATATAGTAGTAAACATTTGCAGCATTTTTTTGAATTAATGATCTGAATTATTACCTCTAGAGCAGTGTTTCTTAAGTTATATACCAAAGAAAAGTTACCTTATAAGAAGTACTGCACCCCAACAAAAATTTTCCATGGTCAATATGTGAGAAATATTACAAAACTCTGCATTATATGGTCAGTATTAAAGCAATTTCTTGAATTTACCTAATCTCTCTTTGACAATACATTTTTGTGGCAAACATTAACATTTGAGAAATTAGAGTTTCAGAGATACAGGTTTGAAACCTTTCCAACAAAGGCAGAGAATTTCTCCAGGTGATATGAACTCACTTGATTCTCTTCTATCAATGGTGACAAGATCCCAGATGCCAATGTCTGCCACTTCTGCTTCAAAGGGGTCATTAAGGAAATGGGCTCTAATTTGATTGCTTAGTATTAAATGGTCCATGAGATTTCTAGATTTTTATCTCAGCTATTAGAAGGCTCAGTATAAAATTTTATTCTCAAATGATAATGTTAATCCTGAGATCCTAATGCATATCTACTTTTTAAATCCATTTTTATTCTGGTTTCCTTTCTAATTGTTAATTAAAATTATTCTTCTTTTTGCAAAATATGAATCAGAAATAGAAATATACTGGTTTCTTAATAGAAGTTCTAATACTGACCTAGATGAATGATTTCTAGCCTAAGTAAAGGCACTAAATTGCCTGCATTTTTAAGGGATGATGCTGAGTGGAAATATACAATGTCATCCGCAACATGCATAATCTATTCAATCATGGCCATGATCAATTTAAAAAGGCTTATAGGCATTCTAATTGGAAGATGATTATTTGTGGTATATATAAATAAAGAGTTTTTAAAAAAGCCATCTTCTAATCTAAGGGATTAATATACTAAGGGATTAATATAAATTATAGGCTATATATTGTAAATAAATATAAACTGTCTGGAAGACCTTGAAACCTTTATCAACTATATATAAAACAGGACTCATAAACTCAAATAATTATGAAGGCAAGCTAGGTGACCTGAGTAAGTAAAGGACCTACATGGGCACAGTAGCAAACTGGACAATCTATACCTGACTTAAAGAGGCAACCTCTGCACAGCATACGAAACAGTAAGATGGACTCAAGGGATACCTGGACATTTCTGAAGAAAAGCCTGACACCAGATTTGATTCTTTAACGAAGCCTGAAATCCAGATATTTGCATGGCTCCTAAATTTACATGTTGACTCAATTTATGGAAGCATACTAAACCTCACTTAGAGGTTTAGTAAAAATATAGACCTTGTATTTTTATATTTGATATACATGTGTTTCCAAATGGTTGTGTGAATAAAGCAAGTATTTTCACATAAAATCTTTCCCTTTTTTGTATCACTTGCATTAGCAAAAAAAAAAAAAAAAATTCAGGCCACAATGTGAAATAAACACTGCTATAAGGACTTCCAGTATCCACTTCAAAAGTTTTTCCAACATATATTCAGTTATAGTCTATTTGTATTTAATTGTCCTGGATTGTTAGCCAAATGGATAACTAGTTCATAGGATGGCTGAAATTGAATTAGTAAAAGAGTGCATAGTTATATTCTTAATAACTTGATGGGTTTCAGTGTTTTAACCTGCCTGATTTAACCTGATTATGCCAAAGCTCTGTGAACTTAGCAGACATACTGAGATAGTTCAGAATACAGCTTCTACTAAAACAAACAAATAAGAGAGACTGTATTTTCTATTATTCTAATTGAGAAAACCCTACTTGCAATAAAATATTTGTTGACCTAATCACTTTAATGATAACAAAGAAACAGGAAATCCTGAAATGGTCAGCTTCTACTTATTGAAAGACTACTAATAAGTAAGTTTCTAAAGACCTTCTCAATTGGCAGTGAATGATTTGATGGTTGAAAGGGAAAAGATGTGTTATTCTGTGAGCTGATAGATATTGCCAACAATATTCATTTTAAGGTCTCAACCATAGAGATACAGAAAGACAGGTAAAAGTCAGGCTAGTATTATTGGAAAGAAGAGATTTAAAGGAAGTAGTACCTACCAAACTCCAACAAGTCTAGAGATTTCTTAAGTTTTTGAGATATGGCAATTCAAATATTACACTCAACTGTTCAGTGGTTCTTAACCAGGAGTGCATCAGAATCTTGAGGAAATTGTGTCTGTTGTTGTCGTTGCTTTTAGAGACAGGGTCTTGCCTAGGCTGGACTTGGACTGCAAGCACAGAACCACTGTGCCTAGCTTCAATGAAATAGTTTTAAATATACATCTCCAGACTTATTAGGTTTACTAAATCAAAATCTTCAGCAGAGAGCCTAGACTTGTAAATTATTTTGTTAAATTTATTATTAGGTTTACTAAATCAAAATCTTCAGCAGAGAGCCTAGACTTGTAAATTATTTTGTTAAATTTCCCCAGTTCACTGTAGTGCACAATTCTAGCTAAGAACTAGTGCAGTAGACAAAAACTTTAGTTTCACCTCTCACCTACATGGTCAATTCCTGTTATCATTTGGGGATTTGACCAAAAAGAGGAAAGAGTAAGAGGTGGAAGTCATTTACATTTAAATGAATGTAAGGCATTCAAGGAATGCTGGGCAGGGGGAGAACTAGTAAACTTAAAATGCAACTTGGTTTTGCTACATGTAAGCTCCTTATCTCCCGCCTTCCCCATCAAGACAGTCTAGCTTTGGGAGTAGGGTTTAGACTCTTACCTAAGTGGCTGTTTCTGCCAGAATAGGATAATCAGTCAGTTAATTATTTGTTCTTCCTTTTTCTTGCCCACTTTACCACCACCTACTCACTGCCAATCTGGTTTCCTTAGAGTCCTCCTAAAATTGATGCCTAAGCAAGTTTACCACTCACTAACTTTCAAACTGAGAATTATTATTTCCCAAATTGAAGAGTTCCTGGCCTAAACATAAAAACTAGGGAAAATCATGAAAAAAAACCCTCTTCTTGGTATTTTCCCTCAATTACATAATTTTCAAATTGGCCTACCTATTTCTGATCACCCTCCTTTTCTCTTTCCATTTTTCCCTCCTTGGCATTGGCACTGAGAGGTAAATTACGTTCATAGAAATTACTTTTTCTTTATTTGTTCATTATTATTTTTTATTTCAGAACATTACAGGGGTACAAACCCTCTGGTTACATATATTGCCTTTGCACCGCCAGACTCAGAGCTACCAGCATGCCTATCTCCCTAAAAATGCACACCACATCCATTAGGGAACTTGTCAACAACAAGATTTTCATTTCTTGTAAAATGCATTTCTTTTCTTGGAGCTTTATGATAGAGCCTATTTCCAGGGTAGATATGCTTTGCTATGTTGTTTTATGCTAATTAGGAAAGAAAAACTTGAGTGGGAAAAGAATTTGAAAACAAAACAAAAATTTACCTTTAGTGACATCACAAATATTATTTACCATAAATGCATAAAAGAAGATGTACCTTCTAATCCTTCTTTATAAGTATCAATACTAAAAGTAAAACTTTAGATAAGTTACTTAAAATAGTTTAATTCAAGGAATGCTTGAACTTTCAAATATGGAAATTGACCTCTACATATGGTGATGTTAAAACAAATGCAATTCTAATATTTTTTAAATGAAGTTGGTTGATCATACCTTGTTTTTTTCTTCAATATTAGCACCATGTGAAAGCAGTTTTGCTGCTATTGATAAATCGCCATTATAGGCAGCATAGTGGAGAGGAGTGTTACCCTGGGCATCCTTAAGTTTTATTTCAGCGCCATGTTCCAGGAGAAGAGTTACACATTTTTCTCTCTGGCACTGGATGCCCTGCCAATGTTAGACCAAAAAATAGATTGTAAATTCTAGGAATTCAATATAAGCATTTCACAGATTTCACTTATTATATTTAAATGAGATAAGTTCACTTTCATTCTTGGGTTTAAATGAAATCTATCTCATTCTGAAATAGTAGGCTACTATATACCTTCACCAAAGCTGCCCTGTACAAGTGGTCAAAGATGTTATGCCTGCATTTTCTGTTCAACAGGAAATTTACTGTCTTTGGATGGCCACTGGCACAGGCCCAATGTAGAGCACTCCTATGAAAGAGAGAGGATATTTTAGGAAAGTGTAGTGCACTATCTCAAAACTTATAATTATTCATGTAATTGTAAACATTAAATAGCATGGCATTCCTGTTTTCAAAACAAGTCTTTAATTTTCTTGTGAAGAAAGGAGAATATTTATTAGCTCTCAGCACTCACTACATTAACGAAAGAGCAGGCTATTGGAATACAAATACGTCGACCTTCGGATTCAGTTCAACTTGGGTTTGAAGCCTCCTTTAAGGCTCTGTCACTTACTAGCTATGACTTAGCTTTTCTGTGCCTCAATTTCCTTATCAATAAAGTGGAAATGAAAATCGCAGGGACACTTCACAGGATACCACTGTGATGCTTACATGAGAATCCATGCTAAGTATTAAGTATTTCAAAGAGTTCCTAACACAAATAACAGCTCAATAATTGTTAGGTATTATAATTATTACGATGACTACTATCTAACAAAGATGACATTTTGATTAAGTAAAATGATACAATTATACCTAATTTTTTGTATGTTTTAAAGATTAGGGATACAACTGTATTCCGATGATTCTAACATGCTCATTTTCTCACATTTTAACACCTCTGACATTGGAATGCCATTGGTAATTCATGATTTTTATTTATTTATGTATTTTTGTATTTATTTATTTATTATCTCAAATTCTGTGGGTACAAATATTGTTAGGGTTACATATCATGCCCCTGCCCCCCTTCCCACCCCGCTCTGACAGAGCTTCAACCATGTCTAGTCTCCAAGTGTTGCGCCCTGCACCCACCATGAAAGTGCATACCCTTCCTTTTCTCCCCCCTTCCACCTGTTCACCTCCCATTAATAAATTTTTGGTTTTTTTTTAGACATTTTGGTTACAGTGTGTTTCTTTGCCTTTCCCTAAAAAGGGACAGAGGTAATCCTTTCCTCCCTACAATGTTCATCACATCCTTAAGATGTGAATCTCCCCCACCAGATCCCTGTTGAACACTACAATTTTTTGAGCACCATATTTTTAGTCTGTCAGTACCAATTTGATGGCAAATAGATGTGTAGCCCATTTTCCAGGTCTAGTGTCGTCTAGCTTTGTATTACAGGCTTAAGCTTAACCCAAGATAGCATAAGGTAATTCATGATTGATGATAACTATAATTGGTAGCATTTTAAAAATTCTCTTATTGATTGATGCATAAGCTTATGGGGCATCATAAAGTCATGTGACTTACATTAAATGAAATTAGGTATATAAACAGGTCTCTGGCAGTTATGGTCATAGGTTTGGCATTTAATGAAATTGTAGTTTTAAAAAGTACTAGAGAAAACGAGGGCTGAAGTGATAAAAAGACATTTTTGAAACAAAGTTAATTGTTACTTTGATTTTCAAAAATTTTAAGCCAAAGAAATGCAGGATTCAAATGAATAGGTATGGTTTATTGTATTCAGTACTTAGATATAGTGAATGTATGTAAATCAAATATTTCCAATGATTAATATTTAAGACTGTTATAAAATTTCAAAAGGGCAGTTAAAGGTTATCTTTTACAACTTTCTACCTTCAGAAATGCTTTTGTTTGAAAGGGAGAAAAGCCTCACTTGAGATCAAGTCCTAATATAACAATTTTAAATCTCTCAACTTGCTGATACTGGGCAGGTACACATTAAGTTTTAAGGACAGAATGGTCCTGAGAGATAGTGGAATATGTCTGCTACACAGTAGATTTTCAGGTTATGTTTGATGAATAAATGGATTCAAAGAATGGATAAATATGGTTGGAAAATTAAATATTTAAAAACTCATAAAGTACAGCAATATTTTTGAAATAGCAATAATCATTTATATTTGCTATTTTATTTTCTTAAGGACACAACTAAAATAAAATGATTAATCTATAGTTATTTGCATATCTATAATAAATTTATATAGTGAAAATATATGTAGATAATAAATATACTCTATAAGCATAAATAAAATTTCCCATTACTTTTGAAGAGGCTACAAGGTGGCAGAAGATACCAATCCAAATTAATTAATTAATTAACAGAAAGCGGGAATTTTTTTTCCGGTACCAGACTCATATCTCTGCCCTTCCTATTATTTCACTAATAATAAACTTTTAATAAAACTTTTATACATACTCATTGTAGAAATCACAGAAAAGGAAAAAGAAAATCTTTCATTTACAATACAAATTCCTAGTAATAACACATTTTATTACATTTTTACATATTTTCATTTAACATGTGACAATAGTCTGTATGTATGTATAATTGAACTGATTTTTTTTTCCTTACTAGATATTTTAAAGTTCATCTTCACATGTCAGCAAACATCTGTATCTATGCCACCTTCAATGGTAACATACTATTCCAAACTATGGATGCACTGAAATTTATTTATGAATCCGTTATAGGAGTTCTTCTTAATACCTTGCTATTTTAAGCAGCACTGAGAGAAACAAATTGCCTGGATCTCTAATTATTTTCTAACATATTTTAATATAATATATTGGACATGATGGGTAAAGGGCATATGCATTTTTTAAATGTGGTACTTACAACCAAATTGTCTACTTGAAAGGTCATGGAACAACTTAAACTTTAATAATCAGCATAAGTACCAGTATTCTTCATCCTCATAAATGTGTGAATAGTAAACAATATTTCTTTCCTGCTTTCACTAAATTCCTTCTCTTAATAGGAACACTAAATATTTTTTCATAGGTCTATAGGGCAATTGTAAGTCTGTAAAAAAATACTCTTCTTAATTTTAGAATTTTTTTCTTGTTGATTTAAGAGAATTCTCTGTTAAATGAAGATAAATTTTTATTTGGTATACATATATATTGTAAATATTTTACAAGTATGTTTTATTTTATATTGTTAATTTTTTTTCTGATATGTAGGAGATTTTAAATTTTATTTTGCTAAATCAACTTTCAGAATGTTTGCTCGTGAGGTCATTCTTAGGAAGGGCTTTGTTAACATGAAAAGGTATCTATATAAATAGGCATTTGTGTTCTTTTCTGGTATTTTTCTCATTTGGTATAGTTAATACTTTTAATTTATATTTCATCATGAACTTATTTCTGTGATATAACAATCTAGCTAGTTTTTTTCTCAAATAGTTTAACAGGCATTTCATTTATGAAACATTCATCTATTCCTAACCATATGAAATGTCACCATTATCAAGTCCTAAATTCTTACATAATTAGGTATTTCTTGATTTTCTATTCTAGTCCATTGATGTCTTTTAAGATGTTAGTAAATGATTAATTTGTGGAAATTAATAGCATATTTTGATATCTAGGTAAGCAAGTCTTTGTTCACACCACTGCAAAAAGATTTTTAAAATTATTTTGTGTATGATAGTTTTGTATCGGACAGAATCTTGCTCTGTCATCCCCACTAGAGCACCGTGGCATTAGCCTACCTGACAGCAACCTCAAACTCCTGGGTTCAAGCAATCCTCTTGCCTCAGCCTCCGAATAGCTGGGACTACAAGTATGCACCACACATCCAGCTAATTTTTCTTTCTTCTTTCTTTTCTTCTCTTTTCTTCTCCTTCCTTCCTTCCTTCCTTCCTTCCTTCCTTCCTTCCTTCCTTCCTTCCTTCCTTCCTTCCTTCCTTCCTTCCTTCCTTCCTTCCTTCCTTCCTTCCTTCCTTCCTTCCTTCCTTCTCTTTCTTTTTTTTTTTTTTTTTTTAAATAGAGACAGGGTCTCACCCTTGCTCAGGCTGATCTGGAACTCCTGAGCTCATGCGATCCTCCAGGCTTGGGTAGCTAGGATTACAGGCATGAGCCATCGTGCCCAGCTCAAAAAGTTTCTTAATGCCATCACAAGGATAAGGGATGCCACATGCAACTCAAAAATTTTAAAACTTTAATATTTTGGTATTGGTGGATGTAAAATTAGTAAACATAAAAGAGCTCATATTTTCAGTAAAATGAGTTTTTCCTATTCAATAACACGAAGTCATCTTCCCACTTTAAGGGTGCCTTCTAAAGTCCCTCAGTAAAGAACGCATATACATAGGTGTACGTTGACACAAAATGGATATTGGATTCTACCCAAAGAACTTTTATCCCAGTAGTCGATACATCATAGGAATTATTTCTCCCATTATGTACTTTAGTGTATAAACCATTCTGTTTTAAAAAGTGCACATTAAAAATAAGGTGTAGTATATACTCAATCACTTTGTTATTGAAGTATATATTGAAATTAGTTCAATCACTTCAAAATGCCCAACACAGTGCTCTTCAAGGGGAATTAGGAGTGGATCAGAAACCAGGTGGAATCTGGCTTTGGCTTTCCTCCTCATAAAGAGGGCCCAGGCGCTGGACCCCTCCAAGGTGTCCTCATCCCAGGTGCTGAGGAGCCCGGGGAGGGCAGACAGCCGAGCACCTGGGTGACAGGAGGGCTTCTCCCACACACCCCAGCCCGCCCCGGCCACTGGCTCACGTTACCTGTCCTTCTTGTCTGTCTCATTCAAGAGCTTTCTCTGGTGGACAAGGATCCACCGCACTTTCGCGACATCCGCCTGGAAGACAGCTCTGTGGAACTCTTCCAGCCCTCTCGCTCGGACGCCGCATGCCAGCTGTGACGAGCAGGTGTCAACTCTGTCACTCCTGACGCAGCAGCACCTAAGCAAACAGGCCCAATGCGTGCTGGCCATCTTCCTGCTGAGGCCAAAGGCCGCTTCAGGGGAGAGCCTACAGCCTCCGAAGACGCCTCAGCTCCCGCTCAGTGATCTCCGCCTTCACAGCGCAAGGCTAGCAAGCCCACCTCAGTCGGACCGCGACCGCCAAGGCCGGACTCCGCAGCTTCGCACCCGCGAAGGTGAAGCCAAGCCGTTAGACGCAGTGCGCGTGCGCGCCTCAGACGGCAGCGTCACTGCGCCTGCCCAACGGCTAAGCGCTACTCTGGCTGCAGCGCGGCACGTGCCTATGGCGGCTGCGGCGCGGGAAGGCCAGACCTCACAGAGCATGCGTGGAAGGTTCCAGAAAGTCACCTCAGCCGAGGCGATTACTTCTCCTCCTCGCTCGCTGTGGTATGGACAGGGACTCGAGGGGCGCAACCTCTGCAACCCCCATCCCGCTGTGCGCCTCAGCAGGACGCACCCTGGTGCCATCGGACTGGCCACGAGCACAGTGCCAGAAAGCAGCTGCTCAGCTGCCACACCCGCTGCCACCAGAGGCCAGCACGGTCGACCCCACGCTGCAGGCACAGGCTGAGGAGGAGCTGGTGCGGAGCTGTGAGGACGTCGGGCGGAGCCTGCGAACACCCCGGGACAGCGCCAGTCAGCGCCTGCACCGCCTCGGCGCGCACGCTGGGCGCGAGGACCGGGGCGCGGGGCACCCTGCGATCCCCCGGGTCTATGCTGAGCAGTCGGTCTCCGCCCCTGTGTGCTGCTGCCACCGCCTGGCTGACCACCGGGCTTGGCCCAGGTCTAGGCGCCTGGTCCGGGCATCAGTGCTGCTGGGGGCGCAGAGAGACCTGGGGTTTCCGGGCGCCACTGCTGGCACCTGGCGCGAGAGCCACAGCCTCAGCTCTGTTGCCAGCGCTGGCTCTTGGGGCTCCTTCCTGTCGTCCTCAGTGTCCCCAGCATCCCGCCCGTCTGGCCTGAGGGCCCGCCTCACTGTGCCCACCCGCGCCTGCTCCTCCTTGGCCTGCAGCTGCAGTGAGGGGCAGAGGCGCGACCGGCATCCACGACCTGGCACTGTGCCTGCTGTCGCCAGCTCCACGTCCTGGTGTGTTCCTGGTGAGCCCTGGTCCAGGGCGGCAGGTGCAGGGTGAGGCTGGGTGGAGTGGAGGGTGGGACGTGGGGAGGGAGGGACAGAGGAGCGCTGCTGGAGGACTGGCCAAAGGGCAGGAGGGATCTTTATATATATATGTTTTGGGGTTTTAATTTTGTTTTAACAGAATGTAATCGAACATTTAGAAAACTCCCCCAAATTTAAATAAATTACTTTTCTCTGTCCTTGTCCCCAAATACCCAGTTTCTTCCTTGGTAAGCAATCTTTCTTCAGAAACCGGAAACCATAGAAAGTTTCCTGCAAAAGTTGGCTTTTTTTTTTTTGAGACAGAGTCTCACTTTGTTGCCCAGGCTAGAGTGAGTGCCTTGGTGTCAGCCTGGCTCACAGCAACCTCAAACTCCTGGGCTCAAGCGATCCCCCTGCCTCGGCCTCCCGAGTAACTGGGACTACAGGCATGCGCCACCATGCCCGGCTAATTTTTTCTATATATATATTAGTTGGCCAATTAATTTCTTTCTATTTAGAGTAGAGACGGGGTCTCGCTCTTGCTCAGGCTGGTTTCGAACTCCTGACCTCGAGCAATCCGCCCGTCTCGGCCTCCCAGAGTGCTAGGATTACAGGCGTGAGCCGCCGCGCCTGGCCCCAAAGTTGGCTTTTTATTGAGGAGAACTACAGGACTTAAAGAAAATTATGAAAACTGTGGCTGTTTCTGAAGGACTGGAGCGACCTGTTCCCATCAAGAGGCTTCTACTGCTCCATGAGCAGGGAGACAGGAGACAGCTTCAGGGGAGATGGCGGTAATTGAAGCTGTGAGATTCCAGAGAAAACGGGAAAGGAGACTTTGGCCTGCTAGGACTGTCCTTCAGTACAGCTGCACCGGGAGCCACTGGCTTTGAAGGTAACCCTGTCTGTCCTAGTGTCTGGTAATGAACCCCTGATTTTTTGTTTAGATGTGAGAGGCAGCAGCTACTGGGCCTGTGTTTTATAATGTCTATTCACCCACGGGGAGTGGTGGACATTGCGGCAAGTTTCTCTGACGTTCTAATGAATAATAATATCCTTTTAGATTTCATTTTGCGGAGTCTTGCTATACACTTTAAGAAGGACTTTATTAGCTTATTTAATCACTCCACACTCTGAAGAGTTTATTAAACCATTTAAATCATGAAATTTTTTTGTGTTTGTTTGTTTATTTTGAGACAGAGTCTCATTCTGTTGCCTGGACTAGAATGCCTTGGCATCAACCTAGCTCACAGCAACTCCTGGGCTCAAGTGATCCTCCTGCCTCAGACTCCCAAGTAGCTGGGACTACAGGTGTGACCACCATGCCCAGCTAATTTTTTTATTTTTAGTTGCCTAATTTTTTTTTCTATTTTCTAGTAGAGAGGGAGTCTCGCTCTTGCTCAAGCTGGCATTGAAATCCTGACCTCAAGCACTCCTCCTGCCTTGGCCTCCCAGAGTCCTAGGATTAAATCATGAGTATTGCAAGGTTCATCTTCAGGAAGAATTAATTAGCCCATAGTCACCATTGGTAAGTGGCAGATCATGGATATTGCTTGTTTTTGAAAAGAAGTTTTGTCATTATTTGGATATGGAAAGGCAAGTAATACAGTTCAGATTAGAACCCGGGCAGGACTCAGATTTTGTATTTCAAATTTCAGATGGGAACACACAGCATCACCTGACAAGTGAAACAACAGCTGTTGCAGCCAAGCACAAACCAAGCACAAACCAAGCACGCCAGGAGCGGGTGCCTTTCCAGGCTTCCACTGCCATCTCGTGGAGCCACATGGTAAGTGAAAAGCAGTCTAGAGGCATGTCATTCCAGTCTGTGGCCAAACCACTCGGCTCCCTGCCTTCCAAACTAATATGTTAATTCTGACTTCAGAAAAACCTTCGACTGGATCTCACACAGGGTGTGAACTTTTCATACACACAACTGCCTTTTCTCACGTTGGCATCCTCTGCCATTGCCTGTAGACATTTTTGGGGATGACAGAGGCTGAACCAGAAGGTGTACCATGTTTTTAGGAATCAGTGACCTTTGAGGATTTGGCCATGGACTTCACCGAGTAGGAAGAGTGGTCCCTGCTGGTCACATCTCAGAGGTGTGATGCCGGAGAACATCAGTCACCTGGGGTTTCTGGGTGAGTCTTTCAACAGTCATTTTTTAAATAAAAAATAAGCAGAGTAATTTTTCATATTCCACATCCCTCTTTACCCTGATTTATACTGTCATCACAACTGTGTACTTCCTAAATGGTAGGACAAATTGAAGAATGTGACAAATACTTGTAGCATAGTGGTATAAATGACTGTGATAAGTTGCATTAAAGATATGCTGTGGCATTCTACCATCAGCTTTGACATTTATCCTCTCAGGGACATGATTTGCTCCTCTGATTTATGATCACTATTCTTATCAATCAGCATGTTCACATTAGTGTATGTGTACTCTTTAATTTTAGTTATAGTTATTTGAAACATAATCTCACTTTTGAAATCTTAATCACATGTGGTATTAAACCTATATTCATATTTTCTTCAGTATATTTCTGTCATTTTTCTGTAATAACAGCGATAACAAAAAACAACAAATACCTAAAACCTAAAGTCATAATTTTCAGAGGCAAACATGAGGATTCAGCTCCATACTAACTGCATGAATGTGTGGTTGGCTTTGTCATATTTACCTGTAATTGACTACATGTCCCATTTGCTTTTTTGGGTCTCCTGAGAAATATCCTCACCTGAAGGTAATAACTTTTATATTTTTATCTTGAATTAGTCACTATATATTATATGAAATAGCCATTATTTGTTAAACACTTTGTTTCAAGCCCATTCAGCCTACCATTGAAATAAAAGATTCTATTTGAGTAGAACAGTAAGAATGAAGGTTATACAAACATCTAGATCAGGTAAATTTTCCAACACAGATTTATCTCTGGAAAGAAGTACATTAAAGTATTTGAAATGCTTATGGTCTTTTTATTGCTAGTTATTTCTTTCCCCAAATTTGATGGAAGGATTTGATATAAATACTATAGACATTATTGTTGGTATCCATGTTTGACAAAAAGACACACAAGCATAAGGAAAAGAGATTTTGAAAATGTGAATTTTCACTCAGATGTCTCTACATATATGTTCTGACACTAATGTTCTCAGTTTGGAATCAATCCTTGTTAGGTATCCACAGAAGTGAATTATGAGACTATATTATTTTTGCAGTGTTTCAAATGCTTATTGTAATTCTGATCTTTACCTAGAGGAACACTTTACTTGCTAACATGTCAATTGTGTTTTCACTTTAATTATTTCATCTTAGTGCTATTACAATGATGATCTTAAGCCAGTCAGGTGTTCCGATTAGCAGACTCTTTGAGTTGGGAGGGTGGTATCTTTGATCATTAAAAATGAGGAAAGTATTAACATCCCTTAATGACTGTGTATGGTAGGCACAGACTTTAAAGACAGTGGTTCTGAAACTTTTTGGCCTTAGGGTTATTTTTACTATTAAAATTATTCCATAGAATTGATCAACACCTGTATTGGGTATTTATCATTACCTTGAACTTTTAAAACATTTTACTACTTATGTGTATAGTTATGAATAATAGCTAGAATTTGTTTTCATGTCCTAAAATTTAATATAAATGACTGTACACTGTGTATATCATTCAGCAACTTTCTTTTGTTTGTTTAGCAATTATATTTTTCATATCTACATTGACACAAGTAGCTCTAATTTAATTTAAGTTCTTCTTAGGATTTTATCATATGACTATGACACAGAGTTAATTAAATTCTCTTCATTATGATAATAATAAAAATGATTGTGGATTCTAAAGAGTCTTTGTTTAAGTGGGCTAAATCTATTGATATTAACAATATTAGAAATTAAAACTGAAAAATTTAAAATACAAGCATGTGCATCATACATTCCAATAGCTGTTTAGTCACATGCACCATGTTGTAACTCATCAGCCATTAGAGATACAATATTATGACACATCAAGTCTCTGAAAACCTCCACTGTACACTTTTAAGAGAATGAGAGTGAAAATTGCAAATGCCATTTTTTATTATTTAACCTCTTGAACAGGCTGAATGAATCTGGGATTCTCAGATCACAATTTAGAGCCATTGTTTTAAACCATATATATAGTTTATGGGTGTTAAATGATGAATGACCCTTGATAATGAAATGGTGTTTGAAGTTTCACTTCTATGTGAAGTTTAAATTCAACAATTTTGTTTATAAAAATGAAAGTATTTTTGATATGTATTCATTTCATATCTCTTGGCACTCTGAATTCTTGTGTGGACTTAGACTTATCCTCTTTTTACATGGGAACAATTAGGTCACTTAAGACCATAATTTTTCATATAAATTTCTGGTGTTTATTCAAGGCTTTCCGTGTAGTTTAGGCTGGAGCTGGAACCTGGAAATGTAGAAGGAAACCCCGCCTCCAGCCCCCTCCCCAGGGAATGGAACCTTCTCCATCTTTTGCCCAACTGTAAAGAACGGCAGTTGGAAACTGCCTGGCACTGTGGCTCTTCTACCTGGAGACTCCAGCCTGAGCGGCCACTAGTGGGCCGGCTCCCTTTGGCTTTTTAAGGACCCTCGTGTTGCTCCCAACGAAGGGTTGTGCTCTGCTGGCATCCAGACGGAGGCAGGAGTGGCTGACCTCACTTTGGTGGGGGACAGAGGTATCCTAGTGGCTTCTGATTCAGGTGTTGTTGAATTGTGGGAGCTGGGTGGGAGTGAGACACTGACTGTCAGCAAGTTCTGCAAGTAGGAGCATGATGAGTGACCTTGTGTCTAGAGTCAGTGTCCTGAGCTCTGGCTCAGAAGATGTCAGTGGTGGCAAAGATTTCTGCATCTAGGTTTGAGACCCTCCTCAACAGATGGCTGTGAATTGATGCTAAGTGCATCTGAGCAGGTCACCTGTGCTGCTGCCTCTCCCCTCAAGGACTCCGTTTCTCTTAACGCGGTGTGGACAGTAGAGCTTTGCCCTGTGATACCTGCTGTCGCAGGCATCACGGAGGGCTGCCGTGTCTCTGGCTGCCTTCCTACCCCCGGCTTGGTAGCCACAGCAAGGTGAAGTCTTTGCCTTTGGTGATGAGACTGAGACTATCTCCCTTTTAGACACTGGCCTGGCCCCTCTCAGTGCAGACTGCTCACTTGCTGTGCTGGACTCAGGCCTTTCCAAGGTGTTTAGAAGCTGAGCCCATAGAGACTTTGTGAGAGATGCTACTTGGTCCCCACTCAGTCACTTCCTGCTTACCCCGGTGGGCTGGGACCATCAGGTCATCCAGCATATTGTGCCCACAGAACCTTGCCAGGCACCTGAACCTGAGAGTGCTGCTGAGTAGATTGGATTTAAGACAAAAAGCAAGTCCCCCATGAATATCTATTTCTTTGCCCCTTCCCCTTCAGCTTGTGACACAGGATAGTAGCCTTCTGCAGTGTGTGGCTACTCTAGATCTGCTCAGTAAATAGGCATGGTCTCTCGGCCTGAAGAGGCTGGATTCTGGGACCCTGCAGTCACAGGGGGGAAAAAACTTCCTTGAAAATATGCATGTATATGTGTCTGAGTGTGTAGATCTGTAGTTTTTGGTGGTGAGGGGAATAAAAAAATCCATCTCTTACCTTCCGTAAGCACTGGCCCTCCCTTCTACGGAGAGTTGACAAGAGGGTTTTATGCTTCCCTTATGTCGCTGTCTCTAAGGAGTGGCCAGGTCTGGATGGGGTAAAGGATGTGGGCATCTCTGGATTCTTGGAAGCAAATCTTATGCTACTCATACACATAGGGTCACTTTTATTTTTGATAACGTTTAATTTACCATTATCATGGGAATTGCTTCCAATCGCAAAAATCCAGCCCAGCTCACTTTGAGGAAGAGGCAGTACATGCACAGTGTCACGCAACTCCTTGCCACTAAACAGAATCAGAAGTGCATTTTCTGGCTGAATAAAAGGTTTGGCTGCTCCTCCTCCCGTGCTCCTTACTGGCATTGTGTATACCAGAGAGGAGTGTTTCTGTCATAGATGCCATAGAGCTATGTTTGGGGATGATGGAGACTTAAAGGCATTTGTGCCAAGTTAGAAAACTGACACATTGGTACAAAGAAGAAATCTTTGCCACTTTTCCCACCAGAAAACAGCCGGGGCCTGACCTTTTCTGCCTCTGGGCCCGTTTTTCTGGATATAGAAAATCTGAATGCTTTGTAGACACGTAAAGGTTTTAATTCCAGCATCCAGAAGTGAATCAGAAATACTGGTTGGTGAAATAAAGAGTTTAAGTATTGTTTTTTTTTTTTTTTTAAGTTTTTTTTTTTTTTTTTTTTAAGTAGACTTCCTTGCTTTGGAGAAACAAAAAGTTCAACTTCAAAAAGACATGGAGGTTCACTTGTAGCTACTCTTTATTTTTCCTCTTTATTAATTGTCTAATGGATTCTAATTTTCTACCTATGAAAAGCTCACATATAATATGGAGTTGTCTAAATATGTAATTGTGTGTAGAAAACTTTTTCATAATCTTTGTTCCTTAATCGACCTAAGTCTCTGTCTTTGTCTTCAAATTGGCATATGAACTGGGAAACTAATTTAGCCATATACCATGTGACCTTGTGAATGATGATAAACATAAAGGAAATTGTTAAAAAATGTAATAAATGCTAGGCTTTGTTTTTTCTATTTACTTAAAGATGAATTGTATTTATTTAAGCAATAAAATGGGAACATATGGGAAGGAAGCAATGACTGAGAAGAGGTATAAAAATGTATCTAGCCTTCAGAGTTGCAAAAAATATTCCCAGACAGAGGAATCTGTTTATATTACTTTCATGTATGCTAGTTTATCTGTTTAACTCAAACTGTTGGAATTTATAATTCTATTTTGACCATTTTAAATATTTTTTAAAACAAATATAAATACTTTCACATAATTTTTAAAATCACCACTCTAAAATATGTTGAATCAGACCTTTACATTATATTGTTTATTATAAAGTATGGTAAGTTTTGGCATGTATGATTTTATCATATAAGTGGCAACAATACTCAGCCACACATTTAGTATTTGACTCCAGAGTAGAAAGCTGAGTTCTATGTATTGATTTTTAAAGGTAGACAAAAATCTAGAGATATTATTCTGTAAAAGTAAAAGTAGGTAAGGCCTCCCATCCCTTACTAAGGTATTAAATTACTTGGTATAAATTACTTTTAATTTATCTAATTAATTTGATGAATTTATCTGATTCAACATTATGGAATTCTGTCATCTCTTTTGGTGTCATAAAATGCTAGGTAATGCCACTTTAGGAGATTGGGATGAATCATTTAATCTTTCCCTATTTCAATTCTATTATCAGCAGATAATGGGGCAAAAAGTGGATAATTACTTATACTCTGTATCTCCTAGCTGTAAAACTTTATGGTTATAACATGAAATTTGGGAATTTCATACCAGCACCTCCATGGTTTCACTCTGCTCCTTGTGTTGTGGAAAACTGTGGTTTCAGTGAGCACCCTTACTTTTTTAATAGCCCAGGATCCAAATGAAAAGAATGATAAAAGAAAATGAGGAAAAGAGTAGCTTAGTGTAAAGAGGGGAAGCCCCACAATGTCACATCCTCTGAATCTGCCTGTTTAAGGTAAAATCCAGGTGATCAAGAGAGAAAAGGACACATTTTGTGTCTTTGTATTTTTATTTCTCTGTTTCTGCCAATCAAACTGAAAATTCATATTAGTGAAGAGTGGATGAGCAATAAATGCACAAAATTAAGAAGGGCCTTTTTTGAAATTTTGTAAAATTCTGTTTCATTTACTTAAACAGAAATGAAGCAGGATTTACAAAAATATCCATGATAAAATTATAATAATTATATGATAATCATATATAAGGATAAAGCACAAAAAATTTTAATGACTAAAATTATGACAAACTGGGTCAAGGGATAAAAATCAATGAAAGAAAAAAAATTCTTTTTACTGAAAAAAAGTAATAACAATAATCCTTAGTATGAAACTTTAATTAAAGGTTGAAAAATAATACAAGAAGCACATAAGCAATGAAATGGAAATACCAGAAAACCTGTATGATGATGCCACTGATGACGATGACAAAGATGGATCAATTCAACAAGGAAAGATTGGAAAAACTGATAATCCGCAATTTTCTAGGAAGGAAAATAAAGAGTGGGATAGGTAAGCCTGTAGCAGTATTTAATAGTACATAATTATTACTGTCCTATAAAACTAATCTTAATTTGGGCTAATATTGATGATTAATAACTTTTATACTTGTAGTAGGGATATTCAGCCTTACCTAGAAATCAGAAAAATGCAAATTAACAAACAATGATAAACCATTTTTCCAATCATTCTGATAATTTAAAAAAATAATAATAACCAGTGTTGGGACGTCTGAGGAAAATAGCATCCTCATACACTGTTGGCAAATGCAATTGGTAAATCCTTTTTGAAGGGTAATTTAGAAGCATGTATCAAAATTTCAAGTATGTGATTCCTTTAACCTAACAGCTTCATTGCTGGAACTAGATGTTACAGGAAAACATGGCTTGTGCAAACACACAAACATAGATGTTAAGGTCATTTATTATATGTTATATACAACATATAATAGTCCTATATATATATGTAAAATACATATAATATATGTTAAGGATATATAATATGTGTATGATAAGGATATTTATTTTAGCATTGTCATACCAAAAAGTCGGAGATAGTCTAAATACCCATCCATAAAGAAATAGTTAAATTGCCATATCCATAACATAATATGGTATGGGACCATTTAAAAATGAGGTTGTATCTATAGTGTATTGATTATTTCACAATTACAGTATATTTAAAGGATTCAGTTTGATGACACATCTTAAACAAATTTTGTTAGACTTCTTGTAATATCTGCTCAGTTACAAAAGAAAGCCATATGCTACTATGGCACTCTACCTTGTTACAAAATTGCTTATAACAAAATTGCTGGTCATTAAATTTTTTGTTCTGTTTATTCTCAATGCATGAGTGCTTAATATTGGACTCTCAAATTAATCTGAATATTGCCAAGGGATTGCACATGGGGACCCATATTTCAGATAAACATTTCAGTATTTTGGGTAAAACTTACTAAAATACATCAAAGGAGTTTTGATTTACTAAACCAGGACTTGGCCAACTTTTTCTGTAAAGAGCCAGGTAGTAAATATTTTAGCCTTTGTGAACCATAAAATCTCTGTTGTAGTCTAAGATCTGTCATAGAAGATAAGTGAACGGGCGTGGTTTTGTTCCAGTAAAACTTTGCTTGTTCAAACAGGCTTGTGGATTTGGCCCACAAGCACTAATTTGCTGACACTTGTACTAAAACCAAGATGTTATTAATGCAGTGAATCTTCTTTTTAAATGTACCCTGTGTGCATTCCATTGTTCTTCCTTTTAAAAGATATTTCAGTATGCACCACAGCATATTTTCTAACAGTGACTTCATATTATATAAATATTTACAAAAGTTCACTTTACAAAATAAGACTATTTTTTGCATTTCTCCTCTTGTTATAGAATTCAATATTTTAATATGACCAATTACTTTGTATATTTGACAAGTATAAAATAGCCTGCAGTGGGGGTGATTTTTATCAAGCAAAACATGCTGCCCTTGAACCTTTAGTCTTTCTGTGGTCTTATTTATAAGCATGAACAAAATGATAATCAGCTTATATAATATAGAAATGTTTGTGGGGTCTTTTAGTTCTATATGTATATAAAAATTTGTGACTTATTTAATACCTTGGTCTGGCATTTTTAAAAATGTACATTATCTTAAAAACTTAAAGTGTTAAAACATACTATATAGTTATTATCTAAGGGTTGAAAAATAGAGCTAAACAAGAAAATTAGATCATCCTCCACCATACTATGTGATGTCCTTGAAAGAACTGTCTATCCTCACAGACTCAAATTGCCTTTCCATTCGGTCTTGAACTCACTGCGGCAATTTTCACTCCCATCACTCCTCCAAAATTGTTTTTCTCTAGGTTATGACTGATTTTCATATTAATAAATCTAGGCATGGTTTCTTAGACCTCATTTTATTGACCTGTCGCAATATTTGACCCAATGGAAAACTCTCTCCTCCATAACCCTTTCTTCACTTGGCTTTCAGGATATCACTCACCTGGTTTTTCCTCCTTCCTTTTTAGCCCATCCATCTTAGTCTGGTTTGTGTGCTTCTCTTCACCCCCCACCTTGTGCACATTGAAGTGTCAATCAATATGAGCAAATGTAGTTTACCTTGGGTGTATTGTTTTAAACATTGTATTAATTCTCACTGAAAAAAGTTTCACGTGACTTCATTCTGACAATTTTACCTGGCAATTGTATGCATCTATTGGATTATGTTGACTATTTCTCATAAGCTACATTCTCTATGTTAATGTTTTTCATTTAGGGAGAAAAGCCCAATACTGTGTTTACTCATTATTTATTCATTTACTGGTAATTATGATAGTTTTTTTTTTTTTTTTTTTTTTTCGATTTGTTGCCCAGGCTAGAGTGAGTGCCGTGGCGTCAGCCTAGCTCACAGCAACCTCAAACTCCTGGGCTCCAGCGATCCTTCTGTCTCAGCCTCCCGAGTAGCTGGGACTACAGGCATGCGCCACCATGCCCGGCTAATTTTTTATATATATATCAGTTGGCCAATTAGTTTCTTTCTATTTATAGTAGAGACGGGGTCTCGCTCTTGCTCAGGCTGGTTTTGAACTCCTGACCTTGAGCAATCCGCCCGCCTCGGCCTCCCAGAGAGCTAGGATTACAGGCGTGAGCCACTGCGCCCGGCCTATGATAGTTTTAATTATGGTAAGATGGATCAAAGGAATTGCAAACTTCATGTGTATTTTATTAAAAAAAATACAATATAAAGGTGGTAAATTTAATGGATTAAAAAAATCTGGTCCAGAGGACCATAAGCTTTCAATATCTAAAATAAAAAGCCAAAATTAGAATGTCTTGCTTTTACTGGTGAGAGAGCTATGCTGGCCAGGCACAATCTCTTCTGACAGAGGATCTGCTGATTTTTTTTTCTTTTTGGTCCTTCTAATAAAGGTTTTTGTTTATTTGTTTGTTTTGTTTTTAACAGATGTTTTGGTTACATTAATTACTTTTGTGCAGTTTGAGTGAGAGTTATAAGTGTGCCCATCACCTAGATAGCGTGCGTTGTACCTGTTAGGTGTGAAATTACCCTTCCATTTCCCCTTCCCACCTGCTTGGTTTCTGCCGAGTTTTGCTACCATATGTGCACATGAGTGTTGATCAATTTCTGGGAAGAGTGGAGTTTATGGATTGGCAGACTTAACAGGGATATGTGGGTTAACATCATCTGTAGCAGCATGGCTGTTTGAGTGAGATTGTTGATTACTTGGGACTCCCAGGCGTGTTTATTGGAGTTTGTCTCTGACTGTCCTTCAGGAGCAAATGATTGGTTGGTGAGTGAGGCCCATGGCCATTGATTAACTAGATTTAAAACTGGTTCTGGGTGGCTCCTTGTTACCATGGCTATAGGTCATTCCTTTCTGAAGTTTGAGGGGCAACTTTAACCACGTTTTCTGTTTAAAAGTTGCCATCAACTATGTTTAAAATGACAAATATTTCCAGAATTGTAGACTTATTTTTGAAGTTTAAGTCAAGAGGAATTGTTTAATAATTGCTCTCAGGAAGATCTCCCTTTTTTTTTTTTTTTAGATACTTAGTCTTAACCAGAAAAGTTATCTACCAAATTTTTTTTTTTGGTACATAATTGTTAGGTTTTTGTTTTGTTTTTTGGTGTTTTTAGGGGCTCATGCTCAACTGCTAACATAATAATCTCTAGTGGGAAATTTTGGATTCTTTGTAAATTTATGTAGCTATATGGTAGAGATATTCTTATGCATGTGTTTACATCAAAAAGTAATTACAACTTTCTACAGGTAAATTCAGCTTTTTATATTAGTATTAGTTGCTAGGCTAAAAGTGTACAAAAGCTACCAAATTATTTTATTTTTAAGAGAAATCATAACTAGTCAAAATATTGCTATTTTTGAAGTATAATGATATGTAAGCATTTTAAAAGTAAGGGTTTTCTCCCCCAACATAGTTTCCTGATTTCTTCTTTCATGTTACATATGCCTCATGCTATTTTCAAAATTTCATTTAAATGAAACATCATATTTAAAAGCCAAACCAGGGATACAGCACGAGTCTAATTACCACTCCCGTGTCTAGGAGACATTACTTATTAGGCAGTGAGCTCCAGCCTTTTAGTGTAGCATCAAGTTTAGTGTAGCATTCATCTCTCACGATTTGCTTCCACGTAGTTTACATTTTTCCTTTCAAGTCCCTAGGAAACACCTGGATATCATGTGACTTATCTTTGTGCTCACACTCTGTTCTCTAAGTAGAATGGTTATCTCCCTACCTTTTTCTTTTGCCTGGTGAGCTCCTCTTATATTTTTCCTCCTCTGTAAAGCCTTACATGTGCTCAGATGTAAGTTTTCATAGATCACCTTTTACATATCACATTGTATTATAATTATATGTTTACCTGTTTTTTGAAGCAGGAAATATACATTTCCTTATATGTTCTTAGTACTTCACAACTGTCTTCTGAATACGTGAATTGATATGAGAACAGGGTGGAATTTTATAATTTTTTTTATTCTTTGTTAGTAGAATTATTAGAAAACATTGGCTTTTCTATGTGGATTTTTTTAAAGTAGTGTTCCTGCCTTGTACATGAAGCAAGTAAAGACAAATGAAAATAAAAGCTGGACCTCAGAAGAATCTGTGATGACACCAATGTTTGAGGAGACCAACTTATTAACTGGTGGTCTACTGCAAGTGGATGATGACAGCAGTTTAAGTGTAATAGATCAAGATGAAGGAAGGTAAAATCTATATGTTCTTTATTTCCCTGTGAAGGGATGTTAGCAGTGATTCCTTTTTTCTGGAAATAGAATAGTGTCATCTGCCAAAGCTAGAGAATACTCAACTATATCAGTGCTACTGAAAGATGGACTAAAATGAGGACTAGTGAATTTGACAAAGAGCAGTTTCAGTAAATGGTAACCATGTAACCTTGTAGTAAATAAGTGTGGACAACTCAAGAGAGTTTGTACTGGGAAAAGCAATAGAGAAATGGGTAGTAAGTGAAGAAGAATGTGGGATTCAAGGGAGTTTTCTATCTATTTTTATTTTAAATTAGAAGCTATTAGAATATGTTTGTGTGCTCTTGGGAATGATCCAGTAAAGAAATATATGTTTATGAAATTTAATTTTCTTTGCATGTCTAAGCATTAGAAAGGTTGGTATGTTATCTTTCAAAGATTTGTGATAAACTAATTGTCCATAGTACTTCATGTGTACTTTTATGGTAAAAGGTTGTTTCTTTTCAGAATTGGTTCAGAAATGAAATCTTGTAATATATCTGAATATGGTGACCTAAAAGTTAAGCTATCATATAGAGACTTTTAAAAATGATGTACTAATAAACATATGAACCCTTAGGCCATACTGAACAGAAAACATTCCTTGATAATTGTATATGTTAGAGTACTTTAGATGGTAGTGTCATTAATAGCTATGATTTTGTAAGGAACTCTAAAATATCAGGTGTATCAGCTTTATATTTGTTCAGATTCTAGGGAAGAGAGGAGGATTTTGTTTATGTATAATAGAAAAACAAACTGTTGATAATCTATTGCAGATTATTAGTTTGTGATTATAAAGTTCTACAGTGTAAAAAGCATGTTTCCCTGTATCAATAGTGTTATTGACATATATTGTGTGCTCACTAAGTATGTGTTAAATGCATGAATAGACAGTTGACTAGATGCATGAATGCCTGTTGATGAATTTCTTTAGAAATAATTTTTAGTTTATTGAAAATAAATTGCCTAGTTATAAAGTCTTTTCGTTTAAAAAATAGTTGCAATATTCAGAAATTATTATTTATAATTATAGTCAGAAATCGAATGATTATATGGATTCTTCTGCTGTTGTGTCACTTAAAAACACTAAAAGTAAATATTGCTTTCACAGTATATTGTGAAGTACATGGTTTAGAGCTAGATATCTTGGGTTTGAATACTGGATCTGCTATTGACCAGCTATATGGGTTTGGGCAAGTTACTTGGCCTTTCTGTTCCTATTTTCTTTCTTTATAAAATACTTTATATATTACCTACTTCACAGAATTGTTGTGAGTATTCAATTGAGTTTCGCACATGTACAGTGCTTAGAATAATGCATAGTAAATGCACAGTAAATCCTGAAAATGCTAACCGATATCATCATTTCAAAAGGTTTTCCTTCATATAAGGACTTAATTAATATTTTCTAAATAGGTATCTGTGCCAGTAAAAAGCTTGTCTTTAATGAAAAGGACAATAACAACAACAACAAAAAACCTGGTATATTTATTTCTATCAAATAATGCAAGTAATATGTTTTTCCTAAGTGCAAAAATTTTATATTAAAAAGCAATGGTTGTAGATCTTCTTTGTATTTTATTTAATGTAGATTTATTATTTACCTGGAATGAATTGTTTGTCTTTTTAGGCCTGCCGAGGAAACATCTGAGGAAAGGAACACGGTATTGTAAAAAATAAATTATCAAAAATATTGTTAAAAATACATTATAAAAGGTAAAGTGAAAAAATAGAGAATCTTTTTTGTGAGGATATGACCTTTAAAAAAGTGATTAAGAAACAATAGCCATTGATATATGTATCATTTCAACAAGTATCAGCAATTTTAGGAAGTACCTGTGTTTTTGCTTATATAAAAAGATGTATAATTACCATTTCTATACATTTAATATGTGCTATAAATATTTTGGGGAAATTTTGAAACATTGTCATTTATTTTATAGGTCAATAACCAAATATTTCCTAGGAATGACCTTGATGACTTAACTCAGTCATCTGACATAGTCTCAGAGGATTGTGAGTTGCCTTCCTCAAATTATAAGAAATTTATGTTGCTCGTTGAACAACTTGGAATGGATTGTAAAGGTAGGACCATGGCATAAGTACAAGCTCTTTTTCATGTACCCTGTAGTAGTGTATGCACACATTGCTTAGCACTGCACTGGTGTATTGTACACTCTCAGCCCAGATTCCACGTGCTTTTTTTCCCTCAGTGTGAGTGGTTTTCCCAGTGTCTTTGTTGGCTCTGCTTCTCTCCTATGCCTTTATCCAAGTGCATGTTACCATTATCTCCTAGCTGGAATACTGCAATAACCTTAGAACCGTTTTCTCTGCTACCCCACCTCCTAAAACCCTGGTCTTATTCTACAACCATAGTTATATATTTAAAAACATGTGAATCTGATCATGTTACCCCATTACTTAAAATCCAGCTACCACTTCTCATTGCTGTAATGTTAGAGATTTCAGTTCTCTGGTTTTTATCCGGCATGACTCCATGCCCTTTTTACTCTCTGGGTCTCAGGTGCTATCTTAGGTGTTTGTACCTGCAGTCAGTAGCTTTAGTGAGCTATAATTGACGTATGATAAACTGCACATATATAAAATGTACAATTTGATAAGTTTCCATGTTTGTGTACACATGTGAAGCCATCACCATAATCAAGAGAGTTAGCACATCTATCACTCACAACAGTCTCCTCATGCCCCTTTAAATTCCCTTATTAAAAAAACTAGTAAATTATCTTCCAAAGTATTTGTACCATTTTCCATTCCCATCAGCAGTATATGACAGTTCTATTTGCTATGTGTTTTGCAAGGTTTATTTTTCAGTTTGTGGCTTGACTATTCTCTTAATAGTATCTTTAGAAAACCAGAATTGTTTCATTTTGAAAAAGTCCATTTTATCTGTTCAATTATGGATTTAGCTTTTTGTGTTATATCCAAGAAATCTTTGCCTAGCACAAAGTTACAAAGATTTCTCCTATGGTTTCTTTTAGAAATTTTATAGTTTTAGTTCTTATGTTTAGATCTATGCTCCATCTTCCTTTTAGTTTATGATTTGAGGTGTGGATTCAAACTTTCAAGTTCATCACTGCAACTCAGGGAGTGTGGTAAACTCCACCTCAGTTTTTTCTCCCTGTGTCATGGCCTGGAAACTTGGTCAAGGCAGGGAGCTGAGGCATTCCTAAGGCTTATTTCATTTGTTTTCTGTCTTTCAGGGATCATTGTCTTCATAGGCTGAAGTTCACTGTCTTGAAAATCATTGTTTTATGTATTTTGTCTGTTTGGTTTTGGTTGTTTCAGATAAGAAGGAAAATCAGTACCTGTTACTCCATTGTGGCCAGAGCAGAGTGCAATAGAGCTATAGCGCATGCTGTGGACTCACTAGAATGCTTTTCTTCCCCCTTTGTTTAACTGCTTCCTTCTCATCCTTCACTTCTCAGTGTTGCCATGTCTTCCCTGGGCCCAGTATAGATCATACTCTCTTATGTGATCACAGAACTTTGTTTTCCTATAGCATCTGTCTGAATTTATAATCGTCACTTTTTTTGTTTTTGTCTTCACTACTCTTTAAAGTTAAACAAGAGCAGAGGTCTTGTCTTTTTTAATTGCAGAGCTTAATATAGTCCACTTTATGCACACTCAATGAATACCTGTTCAGTGTATGAATGAGTGAATGTTAAAATGCACAATCCTTTATATCCAAAACGTACTGATATATTTTGTTTCTAACTTTTTATTCTCCCTGAGACAGATTCTGTTAGCCTATTGAAAATCCAGGATGCAGTTCTTTCATATGAAAGATTAATAGAACTTAAAAAAAATCACTGTGAACAACTTACAGTAAAAATTAAAAAAGTGGAAAATAAGGTTAGTGTACTACAAAAGGAGCTATCTGAAACAAAAGAGATAAAATCACAATTAGAGCACCAAAAAGTTTCTTGGGAGCAAGAAGTCTGCAGTTTGAGGTATGGCATCTTTCTTTTGAAGAAATATTTGAACTATTTACTTTATACTCAAGATATGTAGGAGAATTTTTGTAATTACTGACTTACCTTCTAGGATTTAACGAGGGAGAAAACTTCTTAGTCTTACAGAGTGTGAAATTTTTGGAAATAATATAATGAGTTTTTAACTTGAATATTTCTATCACTAATTTAATGTATATTTTTTAAAATAATTTTATTGGCTATATGGAAGTCTGCCATGTAGAAATCTAGTTATATATTTAACACATTGCATTTTGGGTTTTGAAATTTTTGTATTATAATAAGTAATGCTGCAAGGAACATCTTTTTTGTGTCTTTTTTTTACATTTTTAATTATTTACTTTGAATAAATTCTTCGATATAGAATTATTTGGTTAAAGTATATAAATGTTTTAAAAAGGTCTTTGATCAGTATTTTTAAATTGTTCTTAAGAACGTTAGTATTAATTTACAGTTCAACCAATAGAGTAAGACTAGGCCATTTTTCTCAATGCAGAATAATTTTTTAAACATTTATACAGTTTTATTCTTAATATGCCTAGAATAAAAAGTAAAATGGGAAATGATTACTGATTAGTTTATTCAACATCTGTTTCCTTATCCTATACAGATAAAATTAATTTGAAGTTCTGTGTTGAAAGTACATATTATTTTTATTATTTAATTAAATATTAGATATTATTCCAAAGTGATTTTAAAATTCTTTATAAAATACATGATAATCAGCAAGATAAACTGAATATATTAGCAAAAGAAGAAACATAAGAAGTGTGAGGTAACAGATATTAAAACACTTAGCATAGTCTTGGTTTATAGTAATCTCTAGATATATGTTGTGTGAAAGACCTATGAAGGTGCTTCTCTTACACTGTAAGTCATTTTTAGGGATACCTACACTATTTCATGAAGATTAAAATTTATTTCTAGTGAATTTATAAACTTATTCATAAGAAGTAACTTCTTTTAAATTAATTACCTCTAAATGATCTATCCTAATTGAAGAGTATTTATGACTGGTCAGAAAAAAAAGGTAATTTTCAACTTGTAATTTAACTGTATAATTTTCAATATCTTTTTCGTAATATTTACCAGAGTGACTAGTATCAGAAACTTACCAATTGGCAGAATGTTCTTTCATCACTACTTTTCAAATATGTATGTCCTTGGAGGAATTGAAGTGAGAAACTAAAAACATGAGAACTAGAAAAAAATTTTCAAGTACCTAGAGATTTTATTAGAACAGTAAGCCAACACATGAAGAGCCAGGTCAGAAAATGTTTTTTTATTTCATAACAAAATGAATTTTAAGGTAAGTTATTTAACTTCAGATTTACCTTAAAACAAGAAGAAGAGAAGAGAAGAAATGCCTATATGCTGTACGAAAAAATCAGGGAACAGTTAAGAAGAAAAGAAGAGGAATATAGCAAAGAAGTTGAAGTGAAACAACAACTTGAACTGACTCTGAGGACACTAAATATGGAATTGAGGACAGTAAGAAATAATTTGGATCAGGTAAAAATTTTATATTTCTAACTTTCTTTCATCAGTACTACTTATAATAGTCCTATGATTTGATATGTGTTATTTAGGTTTAAAACAAACCAAAAAGGTTATCTCATCTTAAAAATGAACTGACACTGATAGCTAAAATTATTTATCATAAATCTTGGCATCTAATGGATGCCCTGTATATGTTTTCTGAATGAAGGAATGGAGGATAAGTGGAGTTTAATTACTAACATAAATGTTAATTTAGGTATTTTTATGTTAGAATACAAGCAAAATAGCTTTGAACCTATAATGAAACTATTTTAATGTTTTGTAAAAACATTTTTTGCACAATACTGTATTTACTGTATTTAAGAACTGTTTTTTTGCTCTTTGATGAATTTAGCTCTGTCATTTATGCAATTAAAATTCAAGTAATTCTTGAGAGATAAAGATCCTTGCATTTTAATAGGCTCCTTACTTTTAACAGTTTTTTTTTTTTTTAAAAATCCGCCTTTAAATAAACCTTTAAAACTTTTTTTTCCAATGCTGTTAGACCAAAAACTTTAATATCTCTCTAGGTTATACAAGAGCGAAATGATACCCAGAGGCAACTTTCTCAAGAACAGAATGCCAAAATAATGCAAGATGAGATTCTGAACAATCACCTTTGCAAACAAAAGAACCTAGAAATGGCTCTAAAGAAAATGAATTCTGAGGTATTTTCTTTAGTCATTTTCACATATCTGTGTTTATGTATTTGTATGTGTGTATGTTTAAAAAAACAACTATATGCATATCGGAAAGTATAGAGGATTTTTAAGCAATATATGTGTGTATATATATTTTAGGGGTTGGGGGTGGTATTTTTGGCCCATTGCATACAGTCATGTGCTTGATTCAGCTCCATTTGTCTGCAGCAGTCAAGTAGTGACATTCACAATGGCCTCATCCAAAAAGAGGTTTTTAATATTTTCCAAAGGAATTGATGATCTTTCCATTATCTCAAAGCCCTTGCTACTAATAATAAATGTTCTAGTTTTGGGAAGTTATTTTATTCCCTTGATATATTAATGCAGAGGTTAGTTCATTATTTCCACCAATGGGTAAGGAGGAAACGGATAGCCAGTTCATAGACCATATTTTCAATGTTATTCTCCTCACTTTTGAGAAGAATAAGAGTTTCTTCCTTGTGGTATCTTATTTCAGTACGAGGAGCTTTGAAAACAATGATATACCATAATGTATGCTTACTAATAATTTATTGATAAGTATTTTGGTCCTAGTAAAATAGTTAACTGTATTTTCCCTTGTTTTACATTGATTACTGTTTTAAGCATTATAAGCATTATGAAGAAGAAATAAAAGGTATTGCAATAGCAAATACTCTCATAATTTTCTAAGAGCTCTTAGAGTAAGAGAAATTATATTTTATATATTTATTTTATATTTTATATACTTAATATTTTAAAGTTATTTTATATATAATTTATATTTTATCTTATTTGCCATTAGTGTTTTGAAATAAAAGACATCTTTAATATTTATATATTTACACCACAGAAGTAACACTGATTTGGCAGAGGATCATTAGAAGTAGAGTCAGAGAGCTGGGGAACATCCTGCAGCTTGCTTTCATTTTTAACCTCTGCTTTTCAGAATTGTGATAACCAAATGAGTTCAGTGATGTGTATAGAAGTGCTTATCACAGTGCCTAGATTTTTGTCAATAAATGTAATTCTTAGAACTGATTATAACAATGTCAGAAAAGTAGAGTATCTATAGAATATTCTCAGGAAATAGGAACTTAAAGAAATTTGGGAAATTTCATCTGTCTAAATATATGCAGAGCTAAAACTCTTACTATAAGGTAATGTATAGGTCAGATATCAGAATGTAAACTCAATTTTTTAATGGAGTCAAATTTATTAATGTTTTATTTTATGCTTTAGAATTTGTTGTAATTCAGAGAAAGGTTTTCCAATTCTGAGATTCTTAAAAATTCTCTAGTGATTTAATTTTTACTTTGATGGATTCGTTGTCTTCAAATAAAGTTTTGAACTTTTGGGAATTTATGCTCTATAAAATTTAAGGTTTTTTTTTTTTTTTTTTGAGACAGAGTCTCACTTTGTTGCCCAGGCTAGAGTGAGTGCCGTGGCGTCAGCCTGGCTCACAGCAACCTCAAACTCCGGGGCTCAGCGATCCTACTGCCTCAGCCTCCCGAGTAGCTGGGACTACAGGCATGCACCACCATGCCCGGCTAATTTTTTGTATATATATATTTTTTTAGTTGGTCAATTAATTTATTTCTATTTTTGGTAGAGACGGGGGTCTCGCTCAGGCTGGTTTCGAACTCCTGACCTTGAACAATCCGCCCGCCTCGGCCTCCCAAAGTGCTAGGATTACAGGCGTGAGCCACCACGCCCGGCCAAAATTTAAGGTTTTGATCTAACTTTTTGTCCAGTTGGATATCCACTTATTGTAGACCTTTCATTGTATAAATGTACAGGGTATTCTTTCATTTCAGAGGAAATCATGATTTGCCATTTTATTGAGTGCTAGCTAAATGGGTTTTTTGTTGTTGTTTTACTTAGATTTCTCATAGTCATGAAAAAGAAAAAAATCTGTTGCATAAAAATCGCATGTTGGAGAATGAAATTGCTGGGCTAAGATTGGAAGTAGACACAATAAAAAAACATACCCAGGAAATAGAAAAGAAATATTTCAAGGACATTAAAATTGTGAAAGAAAAGAATGATGACCTTCAAAACACCATGAAACTGAATGAGGAAGCATCAAAAATAGTATCCAAGTGTAGTGAACAACTGCATGTTCTGACAACTGAGAATACAATGCTGAGTTCTATGCTGAAGAATGAAAAACAAAACAAGGAAAGATTGGAAAGAGAAGTTGAATTATACCGTTCTAGACTGACTGCTGCATTCCATGATCGTGGTGAAAGTCCAACATTAAAAAGAGACTTAGACCTTAGTTTCCAGAGAGCGAGAGACGAGTGGTTTGAGTTACAGGACAAGATTAATTGTGACATGTCTAATCTAAAAGATAAAAATGTGAATCTTTCTCAACAACTTCCTAAAGCTAAGTGTAAATTCAACAGCCTAGAAATTGAGCTCAGTCACACGAGAGATACTGTCAGACAAAAAACTTCGGTTTTAGAGCTTGTACAAAGAGACCTTAGCCAAACACAGTGTCAAATGGAGGAAATTGAACATATGTATCAAAATGAACAGGGTAAAATTAATAAACACATGAGAAAGGAATCTGTAGATGAGGGATTTTCTCAACTACACAGTGAAAATATGTTTCTTCGACAGCAACTGGAAGATGCTCACAACAAAGCTGATGATAACAAAAAGAAATTAATTAATATCCAAGATGAATTTCATGCTATTGTAAAAAAACTTCAAGCTGAAGGTGAAAGGCGAAAGCTTGTGCTACAAGAGAGAAATGAGTTAATGAGTGAATGTAATCATTTGAAAGAAAGACTGCACCAGTATGAAAAAGAAGAAGCAGAAAGAGAAGTAAATATCCTGAAATATACTTTTCAACTTTTCTGAAAGAAAATTTAATATTTGGTTAAGGCTAAATGTTGAATCTAGTTGAATATAAAAATATATAGATTATAAAAGCATTTGCTATATTAGCACAGAAACATACCTTCTTTCCAGCAAATAAGAGCTGAGAGTTGCTTTACTTTGAGTAAAGACATTGTATCACCTATGAAATTTTAAGAGGTTAAGTTACAAATATATAGACTAATGGTAATAATGTATTCTTATACTGCTGAAATAATAGTTTGAATGTCTTTATGTTGCCGCATTTTAAGACCATAATGAAGCAGACAAGCAGAAATTCTGTACCTGAAATGAGTATTTTGGAATTAAGTAAATTAAGTGGGTTACTTCAACAGTTCATTCCAGACTTTTCAGATAATGGAAGTGTATTGCTATACCTCATAATGGTTTGCCATCAGTAACTTTTTATATATCTTAGTTACTGTAATTTTATTTTTAATCATGTCAGTTTGACTTAAGTCTAAAAGTATTTTAATCTCAAATTATGTATTGTTATGACTCTCAGTTCTTTAAAGGGAGCTCCTTTTTATTAAATGGTAATTTGGGACAAATGCGGTGAATTTTAGCAAAACCATATTTGATTTAATCTTCCCACTGGTATTTATAATTTACTTTGAATATTCTTATAAATAATTTGCCCGTTATTTTCATTTGACGGCCAAATGACCATCATTTGGATATACCAGCTATGACTTTGTCCAGTACAAGAATAGTTGTAGCTCTCCGTGATTTATTAGTTTGGCATTGGGTTCCCATTTTCAGAATAATGAGAGGTGGCAGGATTCACATCTAGCAGGGATGCAGTGAATAGGGCAGAGAGTTGTAGGAGCTTGAGGTTAGAGAGGGAGGTGGATGGAGGCCAGGTTACCTAGAGTCTTGAAGACCATTAGAATTTTACCTTTATTCTGAGATAGGAATCTATTGGAAGGGTTTGAGCAGACAATTGAATAGGTGAGGAACTCAGAGGTTAATTGGGCTTTTAATAAAGAAGAGAAAAAATATTTCACAGTGTAGAATTTACTATCACCTGTCCCACCCACATACTTCTTTTCAAGACCCCGGTTGGTTAAGCATTTCAACATTCACAGGGGACAAATGAATAATGGGCTGAATCTGTTGTCTGAGTGACAGAATACCAATTTACCAGGAAGATAACACCTCTGTGACTTTAACTGAATTCCCTGATAAACGGGAACATGTACCCGTGGGGAAAAGAAGGTAAATTGATGTATGTGGTGATATTTTTCAAAGTATATGTGTTAGAGTTAAATATTATTAACATGATTAAATAATAAGGTGATTTATAATATCAGTAACAAGATTATCTTATCAGGTAGTTCTAAAACAATGTCAACAAGAACTGGATGTTACCCTAAAAAATCTACCTAGGTCAGAGGCTTCACTAGAGGTTGCATCACATTGTCACACTCATTTAGAAGATGAGACAGAGGCTTCAAAGAAAAAATTAGATCCAAGCAGAAGTCAAGTATGTATTGAATTTAACATGTCAATAGTTAATCTGTAGCTGGGTGAATAACATAAAGTGTTTTAGCACATTAATGTCTGTGGCAGCTTTCTTTTTTATTTTCATTATAATTAATTTTATTGTAATTTTATTATCTTTATAATGCACTTATTTCTTAAAGTCTGACTTTCATTCTACCATTTTTAAAATAATTACATTTTTTTCTCAAATATTTACCCTTAGGAATGTTGAGAATTATACATCCTTTCTAATATAAGCTGAGAGACTTTTTTTTCTGTTAAGCAGTATTTTTTAGTGATTTCTCTATTGCTATGGTGAGGCAAGCTAGATTGAATTAGAAGATAATGTTGAATGGAATTTTCCAGAGAATTGTCTTATTTCTTATCGTTACTTTTATCAGTGGATACAGAATCTGTGTATATTTATTTCATGGATTTCAGGATAATTTGTACAAATCTGTTCTCTAAAATGCGTATGTTTAGGTTAATTTATGAACCATTTGAAAAGAGAGGCATGTTCATTTCTCCTTCATTTTAAATATATTATAAAAGCATAGAAATATTGAGATCATGTATGATATATATCTCCAAAATATAGAAACATAGAATTAAGAAAATTATCTAGATGCTACCATTGAGTTTTTAACAACTTTATTGAGAAATGATTCAAATACCACACAGTTCACCCATTTAAAATGTACAACATACCATCTCTTAAACAATGGTCCCCAACCTTTTTGGCATCAGGGACCAGTTACATGAAAGACAATTTTTCTACAGATCTTTGGGGGAGGTGGGAGGATGTTTTGGAATGATTCAAGCTCATTACATTGCTTGTGCAGTCAAATCTGTCTGCTAATGGTAATCTGTATTTGCAGCCGCTCCCCAGTGCTAGCATCACTGCCTCAGCTCCACCTCAGATCATCAGGCATTAGATTCCTGAAGGACACACAACATAGATCCCTCACACGTGAAGTTTACAGTAGTGTTCGCGCTCCTATGAGAATCTAGTGCTGCCACTGATCTGACAGGAGGCAGAGCTCAGATGCTGATGCAAGGGATGGGCAGGGGCTGTGAATACAGATGCAGCTTCCCTCGCTCACCTGCTACTCACATCCTGCTCTGCAGCCAAGTTCCTAACAGACTGTAGACCAGTACCAGTCTGTGGCCCAGGGGTTGGAGACCGAAATATAAATATATTCACAGAGTTGTATAACCATCACCACAGTCAATTTTAGAAAATTTTCATCACTATGAAAATCCTCCATGTTTTAGTAGTTCTTGTTATTTTTTTATAGGCAGCAACGCATATTTAGTATCAGTGTCTGCATCAGTTACCTATTGCTGTATAATAAACCTCAAAATTCATAGTCTCAAAACATTTATTTTGTTCACAGTCTGCAGTTTTAGGCAAGGCTTAGTGGGGCCAGCTCATTTCTTCTCCACTTGGCATCAGCTGTGGTGACTTGACACTGGGGAGTAGAATCATGGAAAGGCTTGTTCATTCACATCTGTCACTCAAAGCTGGCTTTTGGCTGGGACTTGAGCTGGGGCAGTCAGCTGGAATGCCTCTACAAGGATTTGCCATGTGACGTGAGCTTCCTCACAATATGGTGGCTGGATTCTAAGGACAAGCTTTACTAGAGAGAGAAAGTCAAGTGAAAGCTGTGTTATATTTTCTAACTTAACCTTAGAAGTCACAGAGCAGTTCCACCCTATTATATTCACTAGAAACCACTTACTAAGGCCAGCTCATGTTTGGGAGGAAATTTAATGGGAGAAATGTGAAACAATTTGTAGACATTTTAAAACCACCACTCCGCTCACCTTTTTAAAGTCAAATAATTATTACATCTAGAGTACTACCCTCCATCTCTGTACCACTGCAATTCCAACAGGGATTTTGTTGTCTTTGCTATTGTTGCTTATGCTCCCTTATTTTGTGTAAAGTAACTGAATTAAGGCCTTTTTTGTTTTTTAAAAAAGTATAGCTCATGTCACCAAACTTTTATACTGGGAGATGACTGCCTTTTAACCCTAAGAATTATTGCATCTTGGAATGCAATTCAAATGAGCATAAAACATTTGTTGTTTACAAAAAAAGGCTTATAGCATTATAATACATATTTACAGATTCATTTTGTTAGAGTCTTATTTTCTACTTTTTTATTTTTAATTTTTATTTTTTTGTAGAGATGGAGTCTCACTATGTTACTCAGGCTGGTCTCAAACGATCCTCCTTTCTCAGCCTCCCAAAGTGCTGGGATTACAGGTGTGAGCCACCGCGCTCGGCATTATTTTCAAAGTCTTATTCTGGAAACCATTTATTGACTCGGGCCTTACTAACTCAATATCATATCCCTAAACTTTATTTAGAAATTATGGGGAGTGATGATTGGCATTAGGTGGTAAGAGATTTTCTACTAAGAGGTGACTTAGAATCATTTTAAGGAGGAAAGACATGAAACAATCATAGAAAAAGAAAATTCTAAGATCAAGTGCAAATGTTTCATGGCAATGATGATGACAGTAAAGAATATATTTTTGTGACTCCTGGTGGTTTTAACTTTGTTCCTGATTTTCTGAATAATTCAAGAGCCCATATTTTAAGAATCTCCTATAGTATAGATAGCATTTTATTGGAACTAAATTTATTTCAAAACTTGTCAGTATTGTGTTAGTAGATCATTCTCAACCTACTTCCTTCATTACCAAACTATGTAATTTTATTCATGCAGATTGATAATCTTACAGCAAAACTGGAAACTGTATCTTTAAAATGTCAACATCTGAGGGCAAAGAATCAAATTCTTCAACAGGAGTTATTGTCTATGAAAACAATACAGAAGAAATGTGAAAAACTACAGAAGAAGAAGAATAACTTGGAACAAGAAGTAGTAAACCTCAGAAGTCATATGGGAATGAATATGGTGGAACGTGGTCAAGTAGAACAGTATAAATGGGAAATTGAAGAGAGAGCAAGACAGGATATAGTAGAAAAATTAAAAGAAGTCAATCTATTTTTACAGGTTAGTTTGTCAGGTGCATTCATTTATTTCACTACAAATTATATTTTGGATATGTATTTCTGTTTCTTCTATTTATAACAATTTGTTTTGCAGATTTCTAGAAGGAAGGTGGCATCTGTTTCTCCCTTTAAATTTTTCACTTTCCATTATTATAAGTAAATCAGACTGATGATTCTCTAACAAGATTATTAAGAGCAGCTGGCATAAAACAAGGCTATTAGGAAAAGAAAAAAATGTGATTTAGAAATTAGACATACACTTGACTTGTTCTTAAGTTATATTGTTCATACTAAAAATTTTAAGTTGATTCTGTTATTCTTTGGATTATCAGATTACATGAAATACTAACATAAGAATTATTATATTTTTATAATTAAGATTAAATTATCAATTTAGTTGATATTGATGATAAATATTTTGAACTTTAGCTTCTTTTTTTACATATTTAAAATTGCCTTTCTGAATCAGTGACTTAAAACGAAAGGTGACAAATATCCACTAATTATTTGAGTTATTATTTTTAAAATTTTTCTTTTTAATTTGTTTTAGGCACAAGCAGCATCTCAAGATAACTTAGAGCAGTTAAGAGAGGATCATATGGCTTCAATACATTATCAGATGGAACTCAGAATTAAAGATATGGAATCTGAAATGTCTAAAATGAAAACTCAAGAAGAATTTAATAAAGCTGAATTGAAACAATATAAGCAACTATATCTAGAAGAATTAAAAGATAAACAATCTTTGTCAGATAAACTAAACAAGTAAGTCAAAACATAGACTCATAGAAAATAAATCAAGCTCATTAATTTGCCTCAAAAGCACAGTTTTTATTGTGTCTAACTCATGAGATTAGTAGGAAGTGAAGACTAACTAGATAATATCATTTTGGAAAATGATGTTAGTGAATGAATTTACTTTTAAAATATTGGTCCAGGAGAGTTTATATCTCTCCCCACCTTTTTTTATTTTGGTTTCCCCCTTAGTATTCTTATATATAGTTAAGCTGATTTATTAGTCTTTCAGCAAATTATTTTTGAAGGTTTATAATTTAGGCAGTGATACTGTTATAAAATTGCTTGTCAGCATTTCCCTAAATAGAAATTCTGACGAGTTTATTTTTTGGAAGATTACATCTTAAACCGAATGAGTCAAGTGCTACTCTCTTGGCACGTTCTGGCACGCAATTAGGTTTCCTCTATTGTGATCTTTGGCATTGTCACTAGAGGGCGCCTTAAATCAAACTATCCTGTATAGTGTTTCCAGTCTGCATAAAATCACACCTGTAAAATAGGGAATGATTAATTTAGGGATGAAGGGAAATATAATTCACAAAGTAGTTAAACATAATACCTGAGGGTCAGGCGAGTTGAAGACATAAAGAACAAGTCCCACCTCTGGTGCTTTGGTAACAATGTTAGCAACTAATTTTCTTTGAAGCTGCTTTAGTTCTTTTTGATCACCAACTAAGCTGTCTCCTTATCCCCTAGAAATTGCTGCTCTGAATTATTCTTCAGTGCCAAATGCTTAATTTTCCCCAGTTAATGGGTTAAATGTATAGGGTGGTGAAAGCAAATGCTTGAAAATGTTTTTGAGGGATAGTTTTTAATACAAGTATTTCTAGCTTTTTTTGTTTGTTTTAGGATTTTGCTTATTTGTTTTTTGTGTATGTTTAACACATTGTCTGCCACACTAGAAAAAATTTGTTTTTCCTTTGGGGCCACGGTATTCTACTATGAATGTAGAATAAAAACTTTAAAAACAAAATGATCTTTTCTAATTTAATGAAAAATGTGTTATTTTTTATTGTTTTCTGTGCATGAGTTATATGCAATACAATCCACGTTTCTAAAATTGAATTGTCAGTATTAATTGTAACAACAGGAACATCAAAAAGTAAGATTTTCATGAACCAACTGCAGGGTTTTGCACTGGGGCCACCCACCACATAACCTGTATGTTACAGCATGGCAGCATGAGTTGCCTGCACACCACGTGGCTCCCAAGGTAAAGAGACATGTGAATTACATATGCTTCATGAGGCCCCAAGCTCAAAACTAGTGTGAGTTAAATACAGCTCACATGGCAGTTAATATATTAAGCAGTACATTCTGTTTTGATATATTTATACATAATGAAATAATTATTATGGTCAAGGAAATTAACATATTGATCATCTCACGTAATTACTGCTTTAAATTCAAGTATTTCTAACGACATTCTCAAGAATCTTATAAGGAGAACCATTCCAGAAGGCAGCAGATGTGACCTGTAAGCCATGCATCATTGATTGACATTTCTCTCTTCTCCCTACTTTCTTTGAATTATTTGTTAGAAATCCCCCTGGAAATATATGTACTTCTTTAGAATGACTTTAAAACTATAGCTGCATACAATAGGCATGCTCTGATATATTTTCAGTGATAAAATACTGTTACTGGGAAACTTTATTCACTCTTATGGCAACTTTTTTGAAAAAAATGCAAATCATTTAGAAATCATTTAGGGAAAAATGAAATATACTAAGCTTTTCTCTCTCTCTCTCTCTGTCTCTCTCTCTCTCTTTCTTTTTTTTTTTTGCAATCTTCACAGAAGTAATGAGAAACTAGCAGAGGTCAGGTCTGAACTGCTTGTGGAGCAAGAGAAGAACAGGTCTTTACGCCACAGCCACACTCTTACTTCGAGGCCAGTCCTAGAGTCACCTTGTTTTGGAAGTCTTAATGATACTTCAGTTCTCAGCAGAACATTTACTCCAAGGGAAAACTTGGCGAACCCCACCTCTACCCCACGGACTTCACATAGCAGCCTGCAGAACTACTTTACTATGGTTAGTTATATTATCCTTTTTCTTTGGGTTTAATTATGTATTTTTTCGATTTCTCAAATGTTCATTTAGTTTAGAAACTCATTTTCTAAATGTGGTTATACAGGCACATCAAACTAGAAGAGTATCCCTCGGATGTTAACTTTTTATGTGATGGAACATTGTGTCTCAACAGAATATTAAGTTGCATTTCTTCCCAAATAAAAACAGGCCTGTTTGCATCACCAAGGCAGTGCCTCTCAACTCTGAATTTTAACTCTAATTTAACTATTATAATGGCTATGCTAATTGTTCATAGAGCAAGGACAAAGCAATGTATTTCTTATATTAGTTATATGCTCTCTATAATTCCTCCTGTTCCACTTCATTTATCTACTTAGTCACAATGCCCTGGAGTCATTTTGTCCTATGAATAATTCAGGTAATCTCACAACTTCTTCCTTTCATTCTTTCTTTCATTCATTCATTCATTCATTTCACAAAGTCATTAAATATATGTGTGGCTCTGCACTTAATCCTTCAGCTCCTCAGTCAGCAACCTGTTCCCCAGTTCTTTTCTCTGTACAAAATATGTGTATTTAATATTTAAAAACTGACAAGTGTTAGTTTCCTTCATATATCAGCTTATTTACAATTTGATACTGATTTGCAGTGGTTTAATCAACAAACTTATTTGATTATATTACCTTTGAGTGCACATTTATTTTATAATGTTTGCTCCTTAGAGAATGACATAAAATTTTAATTTAAAAACATCAAGTTACTGAAAGTATAACTATGAAAATGTTTATTTGTATATGTGTGGTGTATGTATATATTTATCCAAATGGTCTCAAAAAGAGAATGCAGCATTATTTTCCTACCTGTAATCTCAAGTATAATTTAACAATAGCCTATCAATAAGTTGTTATTGAATGAGTGAAGTTTATATTTTGGGGGCTTTGCTATTTTTATTGATTTCACTATATTTCCTTTTCTAAAATCTTCCTTTCTAAACTCTTCCCTTCTTTAAAGGGGGGGGTTGTTTGGAAGAATGTGCAATAAGATTATAAAATCAAGGAAGATGAAAACATTTCTTTAAGTGTTGTATGGTCATCTTTGGGTTGTGGTAAGGTAGGCAGCAAATGACACTCCTCTCCCCCGTCTGAGTTCAGAACATAGGAGTCAGACAGGTGGACAGCAGCATCCTAGCTTTGTCACTGACTCATGATAACTAGTGGGAGGATGTGGCAGCCACAGGGGGCTTCTGAATACTTCATCCCAGATCAGGCATTACCCACATAGTTGTAAGAAGAGGGAACAGATGCCAGACACTTGTCCCGGGAGCAGGCTGCTTACTGCAGAGATTATGGCAGACCTGAATTCATGTTACTGTGCATCTCTTCAAAGAAGAGAGGCAAAGCCAAGCACACACACACACTCTATGTGCCTCACCACTCCTCTCAAGAGGAAGGTAGAGAGAGTGGAAGTGCTCGCTTGGAAACTTGGAGCCATAGAAATGAAAGTTTAATGATGCTTGGATTTAAATTACAAAGTTTTATCATTTAAGCATGCCTGGATTTAAATTATAATTCCAATTAAACCTATGTGTTTATATGTACCAACTAATGATGAGAAGTTAGAAGTATGCTAAATAGTAGAGGGAAATTTGTTTTGTGTTTTCAACTTTGCTATTAATATCCCACAACATGGATAATTTATTTGTTGATTGATTTTGGTTAACCAAGTTTTATTTGGAGAAAATGAATAGTTTTTTTTTACGGAAGAATTTTCTCAATTTCATTTGCCTTGGTTCAAGTAAAGATTTTCTCCTACAAGTTGCCTGTTCTGTGGTTTATAAAATTTTTTCTTTATAAATTGAATATAACGGAAGTTCTGATAATTTGTGTTCTTTAATTTCTCTTTGTAACTTTAGAACTTAGAGTTTAAAGAACTACTGTTTTATGTCTCATGCCTAAACAGTATTGAGCTACATGAGAGTTTTACATATACATTTTCTCTGATTTATATTTTAAAATGTGTGTGTGTGTATTGTGTGTGTGTGTGAGAGAGAGAGAGAGAGAGAGAGGGAGAGAGAGAGAGAGAGAGAGAATATGAAGGAAGCAGCTGGAACACAATCCCAGACTCAGTAAGAAGACCTAAATTTGCTCATTTCCTGGCCTGTGGCTAATTGGCTATCTGACCTCAGGCAAACTAGTCTCTCTGAGCCTGTGTTGCTTTTATGTAAATTTAGGGACTTTGGCCAAATCAGTGACTTTCATACCTTTTTTTTTTTTGAAAAATAGAACTTTTATTTTAAAAAATTGCAAAAAGTAATATATAATAATCAGTAGAGCTGTCTGAGGGCTCTCAAGCTGTGACTTCCTTATTCCTGCAGTGTCCTCCGTGGAACCTTAGATTTCTGTGGGGCATAGTTTAAAAACTACCAGTTTGGAGAGAATCCTTTTGATTAGCTAAAATTTGGTGGTGCTTTGTTCTCATGTTTAATTTTCTCACCTTCTTATATGTTTTAAAATATAGAAAAGTGTAAATGAAGTTGCAGATGTGCTCTCCTTATTAATGTTGTACTTCATGCTACCTCTACCCTTGGAAGTAATCCCCAGCTAGAAATAAACAGAAAGGCCACAGAGAAAAGAGGAGTAGTTTTATTAAAAATAGTTTATGTATTTTACTCCATAAGGAGCTAATATAGCTTTTGATTTAGTATTACGCATAAAAAGAAGTGTAGCAGTGTATTTATTTTTTTAATTTCCTCTGGCAAGGTTCAGTTTCTCCTAAGCTATGTTGCTCAGTCTACACACTTCAAAAGCCATTGAGAAAAACAGCCATTGACAACACCCTGCCTAACTGAATAGAACAGTGATTAATATCAATAAGACATTTTAATCTCCTTTTTTCCCTTCCATAATCTATATCAGGCACTGTATTAAGTTACTCAACTGAGGACAAGAATTTTGAATTTCTGTTAAGGGAACTATGAGGAAAATGTGTGATTTAGTGGGAAAGTAAGAATAAAACGAAAGGGACTTTTAAAAAGTCTCTTAATATTAGCTAATTTTTACATGTGAATATGGACAAAACCACCCCAGCCTCCTGCAAGCCAGGACTAAACCTCCTTGAGCACCATCAGCACTGCAGACCCTTTTCTCAGCTTCTGGGTGTCCCTCCCAGAGTAGCTCCCTCCCTGTGGCCTGGGTCTGTCCCTTTTCCTTGGAGCTTTCATATCTGACCTGGTATATCTTTCCCAAAGGCAGTTTCCCTCAGCAGTCAATTATGTGGTTGGTAAACTATTCAAGGGTCAGGGAAAAGCTGAAAGAGAATTTATGTAGGGGGAGACCAGTTCCAGGTTGGAATAGAGGCAATGATTTCTCCCAAGTGCTCTTTAAGAGTTAGGAGGAAATAATGGCTTTGCTTATATTTGTTATAAAAAAAGTATTCTCCATTTAGAGATTTAAGACTTCTTTAGTACAAAAGTAAGCAACTTTCATTTTTATCTAAGTAAAATTTATGTATTTTGGAAGTATTTGTGACTGGAGTATAAAGAAATAATAAAACTTTATTAATCCACTCACGTATTGATGGGCACTTCGGTTGTTTCTATATTTTTGCAACTGGATTAATAAAATGTGGTATACGTATACCATGGAGTATATTCAGCTATAAGAAACAACGGTGATATAGCACCTCTTGTATTTTCCTGGTTAGAGCTGGAACCCATTCTAAGTGAAGTATCCCAAGAATGGAAAAATAAGCACCACATGTACTCACCAGCAAATTGGTTTCACTGATCAATATCTAAGTAGACATATAGGAATAACATTTATCAGGTGTTGGGCAGGTGGGAGGGTGGAGGAAGGGATGGGTATATAAATCATAATGAGTGCGATGCACACCATCTGGGGGATGGACACGCTTGAAGCTCTGACTCAAGGGGGGAGGGAGGCAAGGGCAATATATGTACCCTTAACATTTGTACCCCCATAATATGCTGAAATAAAAAAAAAGCAATAATAAAATTGATTACAGTATGAAGTAAGTATTTCAGAGAAGAGCTTTTGGGGGAAAATATTACATTACATTAGTATTTCCTTATTTCAAGTCATGTAAAAATGTACATTTTACATAGTGTTTATTAGTGGTAATATAAGAGTCTTTCAATAATGGCTTCTTTATCTGGTGTTGAGTTACTACTTTTACAAGACCTGCCTAGTAATTCTGTTTTCACCTTATTCATTTTATAAAGACTATCTATAATATTATAGTAACATTAATGTTATGGTAAACAATCCCTCAAAATACTGGTAAACCTGTTAGAAAAATTTGTCTTCACACCTAAAATTTGTAAAGGCATCAGGTAGCATGTTATCATTATCACCACAAAGTATTTGTTAAGTTCACCAAACTATTTCAGACCCTGTTCTGGGCATTTAGGGAGAGAATATGTTTTATACGAAGGTTTAAATAAGAGCACTCTAGATGGGAAGACTTACAATACAATTGGGAATATTCTCACACATTTCATAATTAAGTAGATAACTATAACTAGTCAGATGTTTCAAAATTGGTAGTAATTTCTGAAAATAAATCAAAGTTATAATTAAATAACTATATATATTTTCCTTGTGTCTAATTCTAGAGCATCATGAATCAAAGAAACTAAGTTAAAAAAATTGGTGGTAACCTGTATTTTTATCCTTTTTAAAGCAAATTTTCTGAAATCCTTGTGTCCATATGAATAAATAAATGTTAATTATAATATAGATAGCATAATATTTTTACTTAATCTTTTGCCAGTAGAATTTTCACGTAATATTATGACAGTACCACTTTCTTCATGTATGTATTATATTTAAGATTCTGTGCTGAAAAATTAATAGCATAGAACACACTTTACAATCTTAATTTTCTGAAAGTGAAGAGGGGAAAGTTCATTTTAAGGAAAAATCTGTCAAAGTAAAACAACTGATGAAACCTTTATAAAGGGCAGAGTTTTGCTAAGAATTAAGTGATGCATTCTTTGAAAAACATGACTTGAATTGTTTGTTTATACTAATAAGAGAAAACATCACCCTTCTGAAATGATGTATATTCAGTAGATCACTATTATTTGTATTTTTTATCAGATTAATCTAAACAGCCATTACAATAGATATCTTCTGTTATCCAAACATAAAATTAGGTAGGAATTTTATTTACTTTTGTGGTTATGTCTCTAAGCAATCCACAAGTCAGGTCTAGTCTCTAAAAGTATTAAAGGCCACATTTTGTAAGTGATATATCATTCCCATAATAATGTCTCATGTTTAACTTAAAAATTATAAATAATACTTCACTTATTTCAGATGCAGCTGGAGTTTGAGAAAAATATAACTAGAGAACTAGAGGAAGGTATGTTGCCAAAATTTATGAATGAAATTCAAATTAATTAATTGATTTCTGAAATAAATTGTCAAAGCAAATGTTGATAAATTGTCCCTTTCCATTGTTTGGTTAGTAGATACTGCATTAAATATTTTTTTCTTTTATACATCTGATGAAAGGTATAAAAACATAAACATTCATAACTAGGAGTATACTTATGCCTCATTAATTCATCATGTTCCATAGCTTTAAAAATATTTCACAAAGTCTGTGCATCTCTTTTTTCTGGCCCTATGCTTTCTTCTGCCATCCCTGTGGAACTGCCAGCCAGCGGCTGAAACGATTCCCAGAAAACAAAACCATCATCAGCTTCTCAGGTTTATGGTAGTGACTTAAAGCCAGAAGACCCCAGACTCTTCCAGTAGCAGTGAAGCAATTACAGTTGATAAGCAGTCACTTGACAGGTGACGTTTTAAATCTCTAGTCATTTACTTTGTCATTGGTTTACTTTTGCCCCCAGGAATAGTTCCAGATTCCTTAGCATGGAAGAAACATCCAAATCAGCTGGATCAGTTTGGTTCTTGTCAAGTTATTCAGCCTTATCTTTTGCCACTTACTGAACTCTGCCCCTTTGCTCTAGCATCTGGCCAAACTGGACCACTGAGAATTTCCCAGTGTCCTCCTCACCTCCAGCTCTTTGCACTTGCTTCTCCATCTGCCATACTTGCTCCTTGTCCTCCAGGTATCAACCTACATAACACCTCTACCCGAAAGCCTCTACTATTGGTTACTAGGGAGTGAATTGTATCATCTTTGTCTTGTAATTCTAATGCTTGTCATAGTATCTTGTAATAGTTGCTGTATAAATGAATGAATAGTGAGAAAACCAGAAGCTCTGGTATTTAACCATAATGATAATTCAATATGTAACTATGGGTAAATTACGTTTCACAGTAATTTTGTATTATAGTTATACACATTTGTTTTTCATTCTTAGCACTGATTAACTTTTCAACTTTTTTCTTGACTTAGTTAACTATGGAATCTTTTAGATAAACAATATAATTCTTTTTTTTTTCTTTCCAGAAAAAAAAAATGTTCCTACTAAATTGGAATCTAGATCCTATATAGCTTCTCCTGTAGAATCTACTGATGATCTACTTAGGAAAGCATCACAAGAATATGTACAGATTTTAAAACAAAAGTATATGACCTGAAAAATAATAAAATTTATTTCCTGGGCTGTTTATATGGCATTTTAATTATTTGCCATTAAATATGTGACTTGAAAATCTTCATTAAAAGATAAAATTTGTATCATATATGTCTGATGAAAATTTATATAGTGTTGTAAGTGATGTTTCTTGGCCTCTTTAACTTTTAAGCAGATTTTGCAAATGAAAACCACTATTACTGAGTTTTACATATTTAAATACCCAAATGTCATCTGTTTAATCAGCCAAGCAACCAAATTGTCATTAGTACTTTAGTGGTGTTAATGAAGGGCAGATTTGTATTTTATAATTTTTATCACTATATATAGTGATCTAGTTAGATTAGGACAGACATAATTCTGGCATACTGGTACTGTAGTCATTGTTGATGTTTAGACTATAGTTGTTACGATGCTATCAAATTTGTATAATTTCAATTTTTTAAATTTGTATAAACTTAAGGGGTACAAGTGCAATTTTGTTACATGGATATATTGCATAGTGGTGAAGTTTGTGCTTTTAGTATATCCATCACTTAAATCATGTACATTGTACCCATTAAGTAACTTTTCATCACCCACACTCCTCCTACCATCCCACCCTTTCAATTCTCTAGTGTTTATCATTCCACACTCTATGTCCATGTATATACAATACTCAGCTCCCATGTATAAGTGAGAACATGCAGTATTTGACTGTTTTTGAGTTGTATGACTTAAGATAATGGCCTTTAGTTCCATCAGCACTGATACAAATGACATGATTTCTTTCTTTTTTATGGACGAATAGTATTCCATTATGTATATATACTACATTTTCTTCATTCATTTATCAATGGGCACTTAGGTTTATTCCATATATTTGCTATTTTGAATAATACTGAGCTAAACATATAAGTGCAGTTATCTTTTTGATACAATGATTTGTTTTCCTTTAGGTAGATACCCAGTAGTGGGAGTACTGGATTAAATGGTAGTTCTAGTTTTAGTTATTTGAGAAATCTCCATACTGTTTTTCATAGAGGTTGTACTAATTTACATTGCCACCAACAGTGTGTGTTTTCTTTACATGCTATTTTTTTGACTTTTTAATAATAGCCATTCTGACTGGTGTAAGATATAAAAAATATATTTTAAATTCTAAATTCAGCTTTTTAACTTCAAATTAACTTTTTTGATATTAGGGCCACTGGAAGTCCAAGAGAGACATATTAGGTTTATTTGACATGTTAAAATAATACAGGATGCATTATTCATAGGGAAGAGTAAACACATACGTGGGTGGTTTGGGTTGGGGTTGTTTTTGCAATCAGAAAGCCTCTGTCAGTCACCTGAACAGTGCATGCTTATCTTTATGTCTAGCTAATTTGAGGGGACAAACAGTTCAGATAACTAATCATAGGACAAAAAGAAAAACCAACCAACCAAACAAAAAACAACAACAACAAAAAATCAGGAGTTGGTGTTTCTGTACCCAGCTTTGTCATTAGGTTCAGGTGAAAGAGGAAAAGGGGTATGTTCGACCTTGCCACAGGTAAACAAGAGAGACATCTGTGAGTTTTATGGGAGCCATGAGGGAAAGAATCTTGTTTAAGTCTCTTATATGTAATGGAGTCTTATTTAAGTCAAGGCAATGCATTGCTGTAAGTTGTTTCTACAAGCAAAAAAGGGTGGAGGGATTTATAACCACCCCTGTTTGCCAGGTGCAAGGGTCTAGGGAAACCTCAACATTGTCATGGAGAAGGCGAGGGGAGGCTTTTTTCCCAAGACAAGATTAATTTATTTACTCAGATACTAGATTTCAACTACTATAACAAATATAGATAGCGACAACACTTAGGGCTGTGGAAGATCTCAAAGGCAATAGAAAATAGTATGAAATAAACCCAGGACACGTTTTTCTGGAAATGGTAAGTTAGAAATGAGGTACTGGGTAAAAGGGATTGCTATGAATAGGCCTTTAGTAATGTGTTGTTGGTAAGATACGGGGTGAAGTGACATGTTCTATAGTCCTAGATTTGGTCTCAAGTCTTCTATGGAGTTTTTGCCTCAGTGCTGTGACCTTCACACATGCTTCTCAGTTTTCTCTGTTTAGGTGGGACAGGATGGCGAGAGTCGGCTGAAGCGAGTATTTGCCTTTTCCCATGTGGAAGCTAGCAGGTTCTGGAGGTGGACATTCCCTTTCTTTGATGTAGAAGGCTAGAACTGGCTAGAGTTGGGTCTTTTCCTTCCCCCAGGTCAGCTATGCTCTGAAAAAAAAAAACCTAGAAGCTTAAGCTCTGGTTAAATAGTTTCTCCTGAGGACAGACCTTGTTAAGAGGAAGAAAATGCTCTAGTATATTTCAAAATGCTTCCTTTTCCTCCATTGTTTCTCCAGCATTCACTGAGAACCAGGTGAAGCTTCTGGAGGTAAAACTCACAAAAGTATGGGCTTCTCCACCCGTGGTTGGCTCCCTCTGGAGTTGCTAACTCTCAGATTTGTCAGCCTCCAGCATATGAGGCCTATAGAGACGCGCCATTGGAAATCTTCCAGACTGATGGTCCCCAATACCTATCCTGACTTTTTGCTTCACTAGGGAAGCACCCAGGAAACAGTATTGTTAAAAATATAATAGTACTGGCCAGAAGGGTAAAGAGGGAATGGGAAGTTGCTCAACAAGTATAGTTTCAGTTTGGAAGGCGACAAGAATTCTTGACGTGGATAGTAGTGATGGTTGGACAACAACGTAGATGTACTTAATGTTACAGAACTGTATTATTAAAAATGGTCAAAATGGTAATGGATATGTTATATATGTTACCATCAAATATATCCACCTGAAAAAAATAAAAATCGCTCTTGGAAATAAGTCTGTTGTGTGGCTAGGCTTAGGAATTATAGATGTAGAACATGAGTTTAAACTGGCTCTGGTCAATTAAAAAAAAAGTCTATAACTTTGGTTCAGACCCTAAGCCTACTGTTACCTTCAGTCACTTCCAAACAGCTGAGGATCAGACTCTTAAGTAAAGATCACTGTCGCAAGCTATGAATTAGCCAGAATCCATTATTTTACCTTATTTCAAAGTGAGCATTTTGGAGAACAAAATAAAACCTCAATTTAATTTGAGGTGCTAGCCAAACATTGCTAAATGCAACACATTAATTCTGTTTATATTTACATTTATATTTATTTTCCAAGTACTATTTAAAATTTGATGAACATTGACCCCTCCCAAACATTAATTAATTAAATTCCAGAAGCTTTCTGTGAAAAGGCCACTTTAATATGAATTTTTTCTATATGAATACAGTTGCCAGATTTAGCAAGATAAAGGTCTCCCATTAAATTTGAATTTCAGATAAAATATTAATACTTTTTAGCTTATTCCTTATGCAATATTTGGGAACCCTATGTGTGAAGAATCTTTATGCAGAATACTATTCTAAATTGAGGAACCTCTTGCTATTATTTTAAGCACCTTCGCTTGAGGTTATTTGATTTGTTATATTTCAGAGGCTAATTTGTCCGTCTATAATTTGGGTCAAATGCACAATTAAAGTAGTTTTGTTTTCTACCCAATATTATAGCAATAAGTTGCTACTCAGCTCCTGTTTCTCCTTTGCTTGTGTGTTGTATGTTTTCATATGTTAGTTGTATGTTGTTAAAAATGAGTATGATGCTTAGCTTACTGCTTGAGTTTAAATGTTGTTTCCTGGTTATAACTTATTGCTTTCCGTAAAATGCTCTATAATTGTCTATATCTTTAACTGTATCTCTGGAGGTTGTTTTAGATGAAGAAAAATTGCTCAGGACTGAGATGTCAGATGAGCAGA